GGTGCCAGGCGGCAGCTATGGGAGGCGTCGCTCCGGCAGCGATCCCCAGTTGGATGAGACAGCGACGGCGGCGAGCAAGAAGAAATCTCTGGCGCCCGACAAGACGCACTCGAGCAGCAGCCTCAATGGCACCAAGGACTGCCTGGCCTGCCACTTCGACTACGACTGTCCCGCGAGCAATGGCAACGGTCCGGCCCATCCGCATGCCAAGTGCGTGGTCACGCCACGCTTTGCGCTCGGCGGCGAGGTGCTGCAGGCCAGCTTGACCATTGCGCCCACCAGCAAGGAGCCGCAGCCCGTGGCACTGCGGCACAATCTGTCCAGGCACTCGGTTACCGGACTGCTCGAGGACCTGGACACGGAGCCGGCCGAGACGGCGCTGCCGACGCGCCACAGCAAGTCCCTGGATCAGCTGGACGGCTGCCAGACTGCAGCCGCCGAGACGCACGTGCTCGAGCCCAGCTGCAATGGACGCCAGGTGAGCTACAACACACTGCCCGCCGGCCTGGCGCGCCTCCAGGCGGACGACCTGATGCGCAACATCTGCGAGTTCCGGCAGCGCTATGGGCATGCCAGCAAGTTCGACTACTTGAACGAGATCAAGCTGCTGAATCCGCCCAAGCAGCAGGCGGCCAGCAGTGGCGCCTACAATTCGCTGCCCAAGAGCATGCTGCCGCCGCGCAACTCCTATCCGCCGCCCCCGCCCAGCCAGTACACGACCATGCCGAGGAGCAACAGCTCCCAGATACCGCGCGCCGTGGAGATCGCCCGGGTGCGTGTGTCCGACATCAAGGAGATGCTGCGCCAAGGTCAGGCGCAAGGGACGCTGCGCAAGGAGTCGAGCAGCTCGGAGAGCGACATGATGCAGAAGCTGCAGATGCTCAGCTCGAGCAGTGTGCCCTTCCGGCTGGATGCCACCACCACGACCACGGTCAACAGCAACAACAACACCAACAGCAGCGACCCCAACACGAGCGGCTTCAGTGAGTCGCTGCCCAATCTGGCGCCACCGCCCGAATTCGATTCGGATGCGCGACGCCAGCGCAGCAATTCGACGTCGTCGCTCAGCGAGGAGAGCGGCTGGGTGAGCAGCCGGCGCAGCTCGTTGGCCGTCTCCAGCCCGGACACAATCACCAGCACCGGGCCGCAGCAGAAGCAGCGGCACACGCAGCTCAGCCTGGGCATGGGCATGGGCCTGGAGACGCGGCTCAACGGCGAGCAGCTGCGTCTGCGCCTGCAGAAGCTGCTCGAGCAGCAGCAGCAGCAGCCGCACAAGCCGCAGCGGAAGCGTCAATCGGCTGGGAACAGTCAGAGCCGCACGCCCGCCCGTCTCCAGCAGCAGGAGAGGGARAAGGAGAAGGAGAAGGAGCTGCACAAGAAGATCTCATCGGTGACCGTGACCATCAAGAAGGAGCGTTCACGCTTTCAGCTGGATCGACTGCGCCATCTACCCAATGGCGAATCCACCGAGGTGGAGGACTTGGAGCGTCCGCCACCGAGACGCCGTCACAAAGGCGGCGCCGCTGCCAAGTCCAAGTCGGACTTTGATATAACCAGCTTGAAGGATATGCAGCCGCTGGATGCCGTTTGCCTGCCACCACCACAACAGTTTCAGGATCAGGAGCAGGACCAGGAGCAGGAGCAGGTGCTAGCACCACCGCCACCCGACGAGTTTCGCGATCCACCGCCGGAGCCAGCACCTGCTCCGGCTGCCGTTACAGCTACAACTCCACAGCCCATGCCCAAGCCCATGCCAGCTGCCCCGCCAGCTGCTCCGGCTGTAGCCAAGTCCAAGACTAAGTCGATGGCCTGCCATGTAGTGCTGGCACCACCACCACCGCCGCCGCCGCTCAAGGAACGCCAGCCCATAGGCGCCATTGACAATCCCGTGTACCACATCTACGAGTCACTGCGTCCCATGTCCACCCCGGCGATCTTCAGCAACAAGCCGGTGCTCAAGTCGCACAGCCTGGCGGAGCTGAAGCGTCCCCCACAGCATCAGTGCAAGCAGGAGAATGGCGTGGACACGGAACAGGACGAGGACAAGGAGAATGCCGCCAATGGCCAAGTGCCGGTGCGCGGCAAGCAGTCGAACGGCTCGATTAGCAAACATAAGCGCAAGGGTCAGCCGGCTGGGCAGGAGGCCAGTCCCAGCATTTCCCTCCTGGAGTTCGAGAAATGCCGCGAGGAGTTCCGCAAGCAAATCAAATACCAGGGCAACATCTACTCGGACTACGTGCAGCTGGCCTCGGAGCTGCCCTATTTCTACATCAGCGACGAGTATCGCGCCTTCTCGCCGAACGGCATGCACCTGGTCATCTGTGTGCACGGCCTGGATGGCAACTCGGCGGACCTGCGGCTGGTGCGCACCTACCTGGAGCTGGGTCTGCCCGGCGTGAATCTGGAATTTCTCATGTCGGAGCGCAATCAGGGCGATACCTTCTCTGACTTCGACACCATGACTGATCGGTGAGTGCTCGGATTTATCTGTCTAGCATATATATTGATTCCCTTTCACGCCCATCAGGCTGGTCGCCGAGATCCTCTACCATATCGACAGCTGTGGCCTGAATCCCGCACGCATCTCATTTGTGGCCCACTCCCTGGGCACCATCATCGTGCGCAGCGCCCTGGCACGCCCACAGATGCGCCCCCTGCTGCCGCGCCTGCACACGTTCCTCTCGCTCTCCGGACCGCATCTGGGCACGCTCTACAATACCAGCGGCCTGGTCAACATGGGTAAGTGGACGCAGACAGTCCAAGCATTCCATAACTACATGCTCATTCTCCTCAGGCATGTGGTTCATGCAGAAGTGGAAGAAGTCGGGCTCGCTGCTGCAGCTCTGCATGCGCGACACCACGGACATGCGCAACAGCTTCCTCTACAGACTCAGCCAGCGCAGCACTCTGCATCACTTCAGCAACATATTGCTCTGCGGCTCTAGCCAGGATCGCTATGTGCCCGCCCACTCGGCACGCCTGGAGCTGTGCAAGGCTGCCATACGGGACAACTCCACATTGGGCACTATCTACAGGTGGGTTAGACTGAACAGAAAGTATGTCTAGTCGGGAGACTTATCATCCATTCTCCTTTCCTTTCAGGGAAATGGTTCATAATGTCATCGCCCCCATATTGGCCAGGCCGGAGCTAACGCTCGCCCGCTTCGATGTGCACCACGCGCTGCCCCACACGGCCAACACGCTGATTGGAAGAGCTGCTCACATTGCGGTAAGATCCAATCCCCGACTTTAATGGGAATATAAATATATACTTAACCTATCTTATTTTAGGTGCTGGACTCCGAGCTGTTCATTGAGAAATTTATGCTGATTGCGGGCCTAAAATACTTCAGTTAACATGGCTAAGCGGAGACCCTTGGACTAGTTAAAACTTTTGCTGACTTTTGAAACAGCCAATTTGATATGGAAAGCTCTCTCTGCAGCGTTTTGTAGACCTAAGCTCTAGTGACTAAAGTACTCATATTTTAATGTTATTTAATGTGTAACACAATAATCGATTTGAGTTTGCAAAACACACAGGATACATACCACAAACACAAACACACACACACACACACACACACAAACACACCCTGTTTGACTATATACATATATATTATACTATAATCCACAAGCAGGATGTTCCTGCAGTTTCTTCAGCCAATAGAATTCCGACTGCAATTCAGTTGGACTAAGGAATTTATTGAAACAAATTGTTAGACTTGAAATTTTTGTACCAAAACGCAAATCTTTTGTAGAGAATTGACAAAAGTTGAAACAATTAATCAAAATGATTGCAAAATGGAAATGTTTAATCAAAAAACTATAACCAAAGCGGCGTAACTGTTAAAAACGTGTTATTGATAAATTACAATTTTTTATAACTAATAGAGTTCAAAACTTAAAGAAATAACAAAACAACAACAACAAAACGAAAACAAACGGAAGCCAAAGACATCCATCATAAGTAGTTTAGATCTAAGCTAAAACTATTTACGAGACTTTATGAAACCATTGAATTGGAGCAGTAGGAAAATGAGAAAAGATCATGATAAGTATACGTAACTAACGGTAGCTGAGCACACGAATACAAGGTTGCATTTGGATAAATATGTATTAGCAATTGTGAGACTAATTAAAACACAAGAACAAGTGGTTTTTCAAAATCTTTGTACTGCTAAAAAGCAAAAGCAACTATGGTAGAGAGGCATTAGAGTAGAGATAATAGACCATTTTAGAGTTGAGTAGTGGAATTAATGCATTTGTGGAGAGCGTCAATTAAGCTGGGGATCGTATCGAGAATCGTATGGCAGCCTCTTGCAAGTAAGTTTTTCTTTTGCGCAAATATGAATTTGTTAATTGGGAACAACAAAACGATGTTAGTAAATGAATCCACATGTAGAGCAGTTAGGTCAACTTGAAAATTTTGTAGTCTAGTCGTAGTCGAATTGTCGTCTACATAATTGCATACATAGTTATGTGTGTTTTCTGAGCTTTTTCAAATCGTTGTTGTGAACATTTTTAGCTAATTACCAACTTTGACTTTTCATGTATAACTTTTTTTAATCTACCCATTTAACTGTATACATACCAGAAGTTGCATTCTATATGTGTAACCGTCCTGACTCTAAAGCTTACAACACAAAATTTCATTTTAAATACATGTTTTATGCATAGAATTTAAGACTTTTGTGAGCTGTTTCCTAAGGCACTTCGATTTTACTAGATGTATCCAATCAAATTGTGCCCTCAGTTGCAATATAAATGTTTTTTATTTCAATAAATAATACTAAAATATAATTTTAGTAAAATTCTATTCATCAGGGTTATTTATTTATTAAATTTTTAGGTAAACGACAGTTGAAGAAATTTAACACTTCAAATTACCGCCAAGCCATTCAATCAAGACACTTATCGGGGCACACAATGTTGGTATTAAATCGAAATATCGTAATGTGCTGTTTATTAACATCGATAAATTGCTGCGATAATCCGTTTAACAGCTGTTCATCTGCAATCGAGTGGCTGATCTGACAATAAATACAAATTTGAGTTAAAATCGAGTCGCACAGTTGCTGCAAATACTTCAAAGCAATCAAAATTGTGTAAAAAAACCACGCCCAATGATGGCGAACCGTGCGCCTATGCTGCGAATCGGCCAGCAAGATCTAAAGTGCCGTCAGGGCTGTGGCTACTACGGCAACACACAGTTCGACGGACTCTGCTCGAAATGTTTTCGCGAACGCAACGATAAGCAGCGAAAAAGGCGTAAGCCAGCTTTACTCTTGTTTATCTATGCTGTAGCAGTTAGTCATGCGCATTATTCCCCTATTTATTTTTTCAGAAAAAGCTGGCGAAGATCATGAAACTTTGAAAGTAAATACCAGTTCCGCTGGCGGAACTTTAGAGCGCAAATCGCCGCAGCATTCGCTTACAATGGGACGTGCAAACAAAGCAAAGAAGCAACCAGAGAAAGACGAGCCAACAACAACAGCCAGCACAATGCCCCGGAAGAAGTTTACTGTTCCAGCTGTCTTGCAAAAAACGCTGAAAAGCAAATTTCCAACGGCTGCACCGCAGCCGCGTGTGCCAAGTGCCACCGAGAGCCAATTTATGTTGCAGCTGCGACAGCTACGAATCCCGGACGATGGCAAACGGAAGTTGAAATCGGAGATTCAGCAGCTGGATCATGAGATACGCAAATACATGAACAACAATAGCAGCAAGAATGTGGACGAGCTTTCGGAGCTCGTGCAAAACGCCTACACCAGATTCGCAGATCTTGTCCACAACGATGCCCGTTTTGAGATTGCTACCAATGAGGATCGAGAGATTGCCATTGACTTCTTTGAGAAAGTTGTGATGACACAGAATCACAAGTGAGTCATAAATAAGGGGATCTTCACTACTTCAACAACTTTATAGCTTATCTTCTCTTTCAGTTTGCTATTTAGTCCGTACTTTACTACAGACGAAGAATGCGATATCAAAGTGCAAAAACGCATACGGCAGTTGAGTTGGATAACGACGAAGCATCTGGACTGCAGCATAGACGAAGTGAATGCTGAGGCGCGTGACTTGGTCTACAATGCCATATCGGAGTTGGTGGGCATCGACTCTTACTACTCGCCGCAGGAGAAGCTGCTCTGCACGGTCCGCTGCTGTCGTCACATTTTTGAGTTATTAAAGCGATCAACAGGAGGACCCGCCAGTGCCGATGACTTCTTGCCGGCTCTAATTTTTGTGGTGCTGAAGGCGAATCCCGTCCGCCTGCACAGCAATCTCAACTTTGTCAATCGCTTCACCAACGCCTCGCGAGTCATGAGCGGCGAGGGTGGCTACTATTTCACCAATCTCTGCTCGGCCATTGCCTTCATTGAGAACCTAAATGCTGAGAGCCTGGGCCTCAGCGCAGAGGAATTTGATGCATACATGTCGGGCGAGCAGACATACAGCACACCCTGGGAGAGCGCGCTGCTGGCCTGTGAGAGTCTGCATCTAATCTCAGAGAACATGAAGTGCATGGAGCAGTTACAGAAACGAAACTCCGTCATAAGCACAGGCATTAAGGAATTTGAACGCGAGCTTATAGAGTTCCAGCGCGAGATAACAGAAAAGGTGGACATGGTTATGGAAAAGGCACCGCTCACACTGCTTCCCATTAAAACGCCACCGTTTCTCATAAGCCAGGCACGTGCCCATTTGGCCCAGGATGGCGGTGAAGCAGCTGCCGGTCACTACCAGTCCAATTTACTCAGCCTCAGCCAACAAACGTTGACAGTTAAAGGCAAGGAACAGATACTCGAAGATTCTCAATTGGACGTGGGGCACACCTTGGCGCTTAAGGATACCAGCGTGAGCTCTGTGGGACGTCTGTCGCCTCTACATCCGAATTTACCGCAACCAGATCAGCTCTTTGCCTCGCCCATATTTAATTATACACCTTTTGATGCCGTCTCGCTGCTGGAGGAGACATCTGAAAATGACGACGTTTTGATGTTGGGCACAGAGTTCCAGGGCGGTCTAACAAACATCAACTATGACTTCGATTTGTCAGATCAGAGCGGTGAGAACAGCGTTGCAGAAGACACCAAACTAAATCTAGATGAATTTGATCCGCTGGCGCAGCAGCAGAATTCCCCCAATACCCATCCAGCTGAGACAACCTTATTGGACACCACGGCTGACAGTTTGATAGACAGCGATGTGCCAGTCTCAGAGGTACTCTTGCCATCGCCCTTGAAACCGGAGGTGGCCAACTACCGCGGCTTCTCCAATTTCGAGATTCCAAGCATTTCCTGCAACACTGGCGACTTTAGTTCGCTCAATCAGGATGTCAACGATCCTGTTGCGCCAGTTCAGATCAACAAATAAATTTATTCTCCGCACATGGCCATCTGTAAATAGTGCTTTATTAAAACTGCTCATATTTATTTATATTATTCACAGCGATATTTTTAAGAAATTTACTAAATATATATAAAATAGTTGACGAAAATACGTTACTCAAACGATTTCATTGGCGGAGTATCGATACGTAGTCGATAAATAGAACAGACGAAGAAAACTATCGCTAATTAACATCGATACCTTAGGCGTCGTTTGACGAATTCATTCTAACTTGAGTTACTTTTGTTTGAATACTCAAAGCGAACAGACGGCGCTCTAATGGGTAAAATGAGAACTGGAACATTTCTACTTGTTGCTGCCGCTGCGATAAGCTTGGTCGCCGCGTCCAGCATACCGGCTGCCGACGAACTACCGCACGACCCGCTCGAGCACGACTCGCTGCATGGCAAGCACTTCGAAGGCGGCGAGCACAATACGCAGTTCGACCACGAAGCCTTTCTGGGCGCAGATGAAGCCAAAAAGTTCGATGAACTCACACCGGAGGAGAGCAAGCGACGCCTTGGCTTGATTGTGGATCGCATTGATGAAAATAAGGATGGTTTCATCGATCTGGCCGAACTTAAAGCCTGGATTCAATACACCCAGCGTCGCTACATTGACGAGGACGTGGATCGCGTGTGGCGTCAACACAACCCAAACAATGAGTCAACCATTGACTGGGAGGTATACCGCAAGACTGTCTATGGATTTATGGACTCGCTGGACAAGGACGAGTTGGAAAGAGAGGAGAATGGTAAGCACTTCTATTTTATAAAAATACTTTAAAAACAATGTACATATATAAATCTGGCAGGCATCTCCTATAAAAAAATGCTCTCACGGGACCGTCGTCGTTGGGCTGTTGCCGATCAGGATCTGGACGATAAGCTGACACGCGAAGAGTTTACAGCATTTTTGCATCCCGAGGAGCATCCTGCCATGCGTGATGTAGTGCTAAAGGAGACCACCGAGGATCTGGATAAGGACAATGACGGCAAAATCTCCATAGATGAATACATTGGTGATATGTACCGCCCGTCAGGACCCAATGAGCCCGAGCCAGAATGGGTACTCAGCGAGCGTGAGTCGTTTTCCATACATCGTGACACGGACGGCGATGGTTATCTAACTGAACTGGAAATACGTCAATGGATTGTGCCCAATGATTATGATACTGCCGAAACAGAGGCCAAACATTTGATCTTTGAGTCCGATTCGGACCACGACCAGAAACTGACCAAGGAGGAAGTGCTGGACAAGTACGATATATTCGTCGGCTCCCAGGCCACGGACTTTGGTGAGGCTCTGGCACGCCATGACGAATTCTAAGATTGAGTCACTCTCTATAGCCACTAAGAACAACTCGCAACTCGAATGCCAAATAAATTGTAATACTTATAGTTAGCTAGTTAAGACACAACTTTACAAGTGCATTATACTCGACTTTACTTAAATAACAATCCGAATTTGATACATAAATTGATTTGATTACCAGCTTAATTGATATGCATCCCAGAAACTCACACGTCAGCGCTGCTGCGGAAGAGATTGGTCCATCGTGGGTCGCACATTCATAATTTCTCTGTTTATGGACACGTCATGAGCACAGATACATACACACACACTCTCGCATACGCACACATGCAGATACACACTCACTCTAGCCATGGCACACACATGTAGAACGCGTCCGCCTCGTATAACATAAACATAAAACGCTTTTGTTGTTGCGCCGCTGTGCCCGATTAATTTCCAGCTGCGAGAACATTCCGACAAAAACAATAGCTGGACGCTGATTTCATTATTTCTTTTCTTTTTTGATTTTCAATTCATGTTTCAATCTTTTTTCGCTGTGATAAGCGACTTTGTCGTCGACGTTGAAATTGAAAACCAAAAGAGACCTGTTGAGGTCGCTCGAAATGAATGTCTGTATACAGACATACATACATATATAGACATAATTATTTATATGCATATACACTTGCATATGTCACATCTGGCATTAGGGTTACTCAAGATCTTTTTTTTCTGTATGCTTTATTTGATTTCCATTGACACATTTATGTATATGTATGTAATTAGATTTGCTTTCGTTTTCGAATATTTAAAATACAAAGTATTCAAAGTTTCAGTTATCCTGTTTTCTCTTTTTTTTTTGTGTTTTGTGTATTTTAAATCAGTACATGTACATAGTATACGAAGGACATTATCTTATATGTATGTAGTTCCTTTTTTTTATTTATTTACTTTTTAGCAATTTAAAAATTGTTCTCTTGGAAATCGTGCTCCGCTTAGGAAATGCATCTCATACAATAATTATGTTCTTTATTTCAATTACCTTTTTATATGTATATGTATTTGTTTGTAGCTGCAATTCTGCCTAATCTCTGACTTTCCCTAGTTTCCGTACGGTATTAAACAACATCTAACCATATTTCTGTCATTGCAACGGAACCGTTTACTGGCTGCATTATCTTTGAATTCTCTTTATGCTGTGTTCACATTCACTCAGCTCTCTGTTTAATCAATTTTTCCTTTTACATTTTTTTTCTTTTTTTTTTTTTTTTGGTTTTACAACATTAATTTTTAATTAACTTTTAGTTCAAATTAATGCACATATTTGAAATTAGTTCAAATTGAATAGAAAAAGCAAAAACATGGAACAAACACACTTAAACGAAACATGACGAAGAGTTTAAATTTTAAACAAAAGGACGACGAGTAACAAAAATTAGTAAGAAAATTCGGTTATCCCCAAATTTTGCATGTGTGTGTGTGGGCAAGGTTTTTAACAAAGCAGAAAATAGAGGCAGGTTGACGTAGATCCCAGTTCCAATCACTGGACTCATTCTCCTCCTTCATCTTCTCCTATAATCAACGTGCTGGCTGCTACTGCTGCTCCTGCTGCTTATTTTACACAATTGTTATTAGTTAATAATATTACGTTATTAAATAGACTTGACGACAAATACAAATACAATGCTTCGTGGGTGTTCTATGTGTATGTGTGTGTGTATTGGTGTGTGTGTGTGCGTCTTAAAATTAAAGCAGAGCGCATTTGCGCTTGGATTTGGGCTGCAGAACGGGACAGAGCACCGATCTAATAGCCTCATCGAAGACGGTCTTCAGGCCCTTTTGCGTCAGTGCCGAACATTCCAAATATTTAACAGCTCCGATTTCCTTCGCCATGGCCAAACCCTGTGGGTATGTGATGGGCGCGAGCTTCTTGTCACGCAGCTTCTCAATTGTATTCTTATCGTCGCGCAAATCCAGCTTGGTGCCCACCAATATGATTGGTGTGCTGGGGCAATGATGACGCACCTCTGGATACCATTTAGCTCGCACGTTCTCGAACGAGGCTGGATTTACCAGCGAGAAGCAAATGAGGAAGACATCGGTCTGTGGATACGACAATGGCCGCAAGCGATCATAATCCTCCTGGCCGGCCGTATCCCACAAGCCCAAATTAATGGGCTTCGCGTCAACCATCACATTGGCGGAATAGTTGTCAAAGACGGTGGGAATATACTCGCCGGGAAACGCATTTGTCGTATAGCTGATGAGCAGGCATGTCTTACCCACAGCACCATCACCCACGACGACACACTTAATCGCCTGCATATTATTTGTTGCGTTTGCTACTGCTGCTGGTGCTTTGTGTGATTGTGCGGCTCTAGTTGTTGTTGTTGTCTTGGTTAGGGTGGTGGTTGTTGTTGTTGCTGCTGCTGTAGTTGTTAGTGTTGGGCGAGGGCTGGGGCTGTTGCTGTTGGCTGCTGTCGACGCTGTAACTTTGTGTCGGCTCCTTAAAACTACGACTTGGGCTGCAATCTGCACAAGCTATATAGCTGCCAACCTGTCCAGGAGTCGCGGTCTGGGCGCGTTTGTTCTTAATGCGTTTACAATGCGCGTTTTGTGCGTTTTTTCAGCATAAAATAATTTTCTGTGTACTGAGATACCGTATCGATATAAAAACCCATCGATAAATTTAGACACATAACAAATGAAACTGTTACTGTTATCGATGTCATTTATCTTAGCTGGCAGCACCGATAGTTTTTATTATCTTTAAAAAAAGAGGCACTCCATTAATAAGTATGAATACACAACTTATCACACTAACAGAAAAAGAAGATTTAGCAAATACATACAATACGTCTTCTTTATTATTATACTTCACAATCTTACTTAAAGTATTATACTATAAAGTGTCATTTGAATTATCTAATAAGTTATATTATCAATATACATAGGAGCACTAACCAGAGAGTGATAGGAGCTCAATAACACCACTGGTTAGTGTCATTAATAACAAAGTTATTTATAAATTTCAAACAAATAACAAGTAATTATCGGGTATCGATAGATTCAAAGTGCGATTCTTCGGCGAATACCATTGTGAACAGACTGCCAGCCAAGGCGAGACACATTTGGTTCAGCGCGCCTACAACGTAGACATCGTTCGTTTGCTGCCCGGCACTATATTTGTTGCTTATTTATCATTTATAGTGTAAACACTTATAAACTGTTTAGCTAACGATGTCTGACGTATATATCGTGTCCGCAGCGCGTACGCCTATTGGTAAAATGCGCAGTTTCATACAAGTTTGATGTAATGTTTAATTAGGGAAACTTTCTCTTATTTGCATTTTTTTAGGCAGCTTCAATGGAACACTTTCTAAATTGAAGGCCTCAGATTTGGGCAGCGTGGTCATCAAGGAGGTGTTGAAGCGTGCCCATGTCGAGGCGCCGCAAGTGAACGAAGTTATTATGGGCCAGGTATTTCACAAGTAGCTCTCATTGTTGCTAATTTGCAATACAATTTGTTCCGTTCGCATACAAATAAGATTCAAATTGTTATGTAAATTCTTCTACTTCTCTACAGGCATTGACCGCAGGCCAAGGCCAGAATCCCGCTCGCCAAGCCGCTCTGAAGGCCGGTTTGCCTATTGAGGTACCCGCTTATGGTATCAATATACTGTGCGGATCGGGTTTAAAGTGGGTATGCTGATTCAGGTTTTGAATATATTTACTATATTATTTGCTTTCCTAGAACTGTGGTGCTGGGCTATCAGGCTATACGTTCAGGTGACGCTAAGATTGTTATTGCCGGCGGCCAGGAGAGCATGTCCAGTGCTCCACATGTAGTGCACCTCCGTCAGGGCATCAAAATGGGTCCTGCAACGTTGCTGGACACCATGGTGCACGATGGCCTCACCGATGCCGTGAATCAAATACATATGGGCATCACTGCCGAAAACTTGGCAGAGAAGTACCAAATCAGCCGCGAGGCTCAGGATGCCCAAGCCTTGCAATCGCAGCAACTCGCCGAGCAAGCCCAGAAGCTGGGCTACTTTGATGCTGAGATTGTGCCAGTGGAGATCAAGGATCGCAAGGGCACACAAATATTCAGCAAAGATGAATACATCAAAGCGGGCAGCACTTTGGAGGGCTTGCAACGGCTGCGACCTGCCTTCAAGGAGGGCGGCACCGTCACAGCTGGCAATGCATCGGGTGTCAACGATTCAGCTGCAGCGGTGCTGCTCATGTCCGGTGAAGAAGTTAACAAGCGCGGTCTGAAACCTCTTGCCAAAATTATAGGCTGGACACAGAGTGGTATTGAGCCCAATGTCATGGGCCTGGGTCCAGTGACTGCCGTGGAATCATTGGTAAACGAAGTATTCATATTGTCTATCATCCTATGCTAATCTCTGCATTTGCAGCTAACTAAAATTGGCTGGACTCGTGATGACGTGGATCTGTATGAGCTTAACGAGGCCTTTGCTGCGCAAGCTCTAGCCGTGCTGAAGTGCCTCAAGTTGGATGAGAAAAAAGTGAATGTGCATGGCGGCGCCATTGCCCTGGGCCATCCAATTGGTGCGTCCGGCGCTCGCGTTCTAGTGACCTTGTTGTATGCCCTGGAGCGGACAGGCGGACGACGTGGCATTGCCTCACTGTGCATTGGCGGCGGCATGGGCATTGCACTGGCCGTGGAGCGCATCATCTAATTTGTATAGTCCATAGTCAACGCTCTTTACCTAATTGCTTATTCCACTGCTGCCTTCGCTGTATAATTGTTTCCCATTGAGTATTCGTTATATTATATTTTCTTCTTTGCGGTATTATGGTTGGTCACAAATAAATGTATTGAGATCGTTAAATGATTCACATATATAGCGTGTATATATATTTTATTGCTAGCTATGGATCTGTTAGTAATATATTTCTTCTATTCAATAATGCCTATATCTATAAATATTTCAACTAGAAATGTGTAGATAAAATATGCTATATGTATGTATATATCTATAGATTTACATACTTATTGTATGCGCTTGAATAACAACCGTTTAATGAGTTTTCCTCGTGCTAAAGCTGTTTGTACATTCGTCAATCTTGCTTATAAATACGATTGGTAACAACGAACATATACAGATAGGATACCCTATAAAATACAAATAATCTTAGCTATTCTAAAGGCCTGCTTGAGTTATGGAATATATAGTATGTTGTGTACTTAATTAATTCGGTAGTCGAATGAATGTTTATTTTGCTTTCGAGAATAATTTGTATGCCTATTTGACTTTCGTCGAGTAGTTCAATTTGGATGCACTTGGTAAATGCCCGGTTCAGAGATAATTCTTATTCGAGTCTTGCCTTGTCTTATCAGACGCAACCACCGTACCAGGAGGTCGTCAGATTGCTGCACTCGAGCGATTTGGGCACCATCGGATAGAAGCCGTTGACATTGTTACACACCAGACGTTCAGTTGGTGCCGTCTGCGCCATCTGATCCATCGAAGAGATGCAAATCTGAGCGTAGTTGGCTATGAAGCCAGACCACAGAGTGGGTGTACAGCCGTTGTTGAAGTACGGGCCCCAGAACTTCGAGTACAGCACTGCCTTGAAGGGGTAGTCCTTGGCCTCCATCAGGAACAGCTCCTCCGCAATGGCCACTGTATCGAAGCCGCTATGCTTGACCGGCGTATAGATATCCTGTATGATATTGTCTCCGAAATATAGAGCCCTTGCTTTACTTGCGTCTTTGTGCAGGAGTTTGGCCATCGATTGGTGCAACTGGTGCCAATTGCCTTGAGCGTAGATTTTGCCAGGCTGAAGGTATTCCATCGGACTCAGCTCGGTGTTGGGCAGCTCGCGCTTTGCCACGTCATCCACATTCAAATAGGCTCGCTTCTGGGTAAAAAAGCCCGGCTTCTTGGCATAGGTGACTATAAAATCAAAGTAGTTTCGCCAATCGGGACCCAGCGCTTGTGTGGCTGTTAAATCGGCAAAGTCTATATTCGAGCCGGTCAATAGGAAGAGCTTCTTGTCCGCGTTTCTCAGCTGCTCCAGCCAGGCGAGCAGCTTGGCACTGCTCGGCAGGACATAGCGATGGGGTTCAGCGCGCATGGCCTTGAAGTAGAGACTGGAATCATTGCTGAAGTTATCCCGGCTGTAGTTATGCATAAGGGCTTCTAGGAGATCCCCCCAAACTTTGTATTCCTTGGGCTTGCCAGCTGGTCCACTCTCATCATCCACCACATCAACGGCTTGAGCAAAGACCAGGGCGCTGGGCATGTCAAAGTAATCAAGGAGCGTGCGCATTTGCTCCGACGCTGGACCATTCCATGTGGACAGCGGATTATTGTAAAAGGCCGTAGCCATATCCCAGCGTCGCTCAGCGCCGTAGATATTCTCGATCTCCTCGTCACTCAGCAGACGTGTGCCGTGCGAGGCACGTAGAATGGTGGCCTCATTGCTCAGCTTCAGCACATTACCCCTAACTCCATCCAGCATCAGTCCTTTCTGAAAGAAATCCATATCCAAGTCCTTGGACAACAGCGCTGGCGAATAGCCTTTCACTTCCACCAGGTACTTCTTGAGCACATTATAGATGAGCGGCGTCATCTCCTGGAGATTGTAGCGCAACAGCGTGCCGTCCAGATCGAACCCGATGATATCATAGTCCATCAGGTCCAGTTCTTTGCAATACGAATTCATGATTGTGCTGGCCGAGTACCTAGAATATTGCGCTGCACACGCTTTGCCTTTGCTTATGCCTCGCTGCGAGAGTGTGTGCGTGTGTGTGTGCCTGCACAGCTGATTTACGCCAATCAACTCCGGTATAGATTTTTGCGCCAATAGTGCTGAACGACTACAGCTCTTACGTAATTGGCACAGAACATCTGTTTGAGTTTGTTTGTACACTTTTTGTAGCTGGAAATTTTTAGTGGCTGCTGCTCTTGTTGTTGATGCGCGCACACCGACAGCCAATTGGCACACGCTCAATCGCCGAACGGCACTCTGCATTTTTACCGATAGCCTAATACATTATCGATTTAAATTTTAATGAAATTTTTTTAATTTTACTACATAATTTTGTCCATAAACAATGCCAGCTCAAATCAATCGACGGCACACTCGATATACGACTCAAACGATTCGATACTCTTGCATGTCAAATATCGGACGTTTCTCGATGCTTTGTTGGAAGTATCGAAAAATCGTCAATGTTTTTTTTTAGCAAGCGTACCGCGTTAAGAAAGTGAAATTGTGATTTTCGTGTAATTTAACGCCATAAAGTCATCAATTGTTTGGCTCTCGAGCCATACTTACTGCAATCATGTCCGCGTGCATCGAAATTCCTTTGCAGGACACGGATGAGGTGAGTTTGAAACGTTGTACTACAAAAGTCAAAATGTTTGCATAAAAAAAATGCTTGCAGGTCATCGAAGTGGACCCGGATCAACTCCCCGAATGCTCGGAAGTGTTTAGCATTTTGCTGCAGGAGCGTGCTCCTTTGCACGTCTGGGTCAATGTGGCGGTAAGCAATATTAATTTATATAACTGGGCTCCCAAAGGGGAATCACCATGTAAATATCCTATTCCACAGTTGGCATACTACAAGCAGAAGAAGACAGATGACTTCATCATGCTGCTGGAAGCAGCTCGTGATAAGGGCACCACGGACTACCGTGACTATAAAACGGACCAGATGCGCGCCTATGACATGTTGGCCGCCCATTATGTACAGGAGGCGTATAGAGAGAAGTCCAAAGATAAGAAGCGCGAGCTTTTCATGAAAGCCACTAACTTGTACACGAATGCGGACAAAATTATTATGTACGACCAGAGCCATTTGCTGGGACGTGCCTATTTCTGTCTGCTCGAGGGCGACAAAATGGATCAAGCAGACGCGCAATTCAACTTCGTGCTCAATCAATCGCCATCAAATATACCATCGCTGCTGGGCAAGGCGTGCATTGCATTCAATCGCAAGGACTATCGTGGTGCTATGGCGTTCTACAAGAAGGCACTGCGCACGAATCCCAACTGTCCGGCTAACGTGCGGATCGGCATGGCGCACTGCTTCCTGAAAATGGGCAATGCTGAAAAGGCCAAGTTGGCCTTTGAGCGAGCCCTGCAACTGGATCAGCAATGCGTGGGTGCTCTAATTGGCCTGGCTGTGCTGAAGCTCAATCAACTGGAGCCGGAGTCCAATAAGCTGGGCGTGCAAATGCTCTCTAAGGCGTACACCATCGACAATGCCAATCCGATGGTGTTGAATCATTTGGCCAACCATTTCTTTTTCAAGAAGGACTACCAAAAGGTTCATCATTTGGCTCTGCACGCCTTCCACAATACCGAAAATGAAGCAATGCGTGCCGAGAGCTGTTACCAGCTAGCCAGGAGCTTTCATGCCCAAAGCGACTATGACCAGGCCTTCCAATACTATTATCAGTCCACGCAGATTGCGCCGGCTAACTTTGTGCTTCCACACTACGGACTCGGTCAGATGTACATATATCGCGGGGACACAGAGAACGTAAATGCCAGCATAAGTAATCCTTCCGAAATCCGTATACCAATTTCTATTAATCTATTTACAGGCAGCGCAATGTTTTGAGAAAGTGCTGAAGATTCAGCCGGGTAACTACGAGACCATGAAAATTCTCGGCTCCCTGTATGCGCACTCCAATTCGCAAACCAAGCGTGACATGGCCAAGACACACCTGAAAAAGGTGACCGAACAGTTTCCGGAGGACATTGAAGCCTGGATAGAGCTGGCGCAGATATTGGAGCAAAATGATTTGCAGGCCTCGCTTAATGCCTACGGCACTGCCTCGAGCATTTTGCGTGACAAGGCCAAGTATGAGATCCCGGCGGAGATACAGAATAATGTCGCCTCACTGCACTATCGTCTGGGCAATCTGAAATTGGCCAAGGACACGCTCGAGTCGGCGCTAAAGCATGCCAGCTCCGAGATGGAGAAGGACGTCAAGTACTACGAGTCCATACAGGTGACCATGAAGTATAATCTGGCCCGCTTGAATGAGGCCATGAGCTGTTTCGATGTGGCCGACAAGCTGTACAAGGAGATACTCAAGGAGCATCCTAACTACATTGATTGCTATCTGCGGCTGGGCTGCATGGCGCGTGATAAGGGCCTGATCTTCGTCGCATCGGATTTCTTCAAAGATGCACTGAATATCAATAATGACAATCCAGATGCGCGGTCGCTCCTCGGCAATTTGCATTTGGCGAAAATGCAATTCGCATTGGGTCAAAAGAATTTCGAGACCATACTCAAGAATCCAGCAACGGCTTCAGATGCCTACTCTCTAATTGCCCTTGGAAATTTCTCGCTGCAGACACTGCATCAGCCAAGTCGCGACAAGGAGAAGGAGCGCAAGCATCAGGAAAAGGCGCTCGCTATATTCAAGCAGGTAAAGTAGGTTGTGAAAAGTCAAGTTATCTATACTATAATGTGGAAACTTTTGGAATAGGTACTGCGTACGGATCCTCGCAACATTTGGGCCACCAATGGCATTGGCGCAGTGCTTGCCCACAAGGGCTGCGTCATCGAAGCGCGCGACATCTTTGCTCAGGTGCGCGAAGCCACCGCCGATTTCTGTGATGTGTGGCTAAACATTGCCCATATCTACGTCGAGCAGAAGCAATATATTAGCGCCATCCAGATGTACGAGAATTGTATGAAGAAGTTCTTCAAGCACAACAATGTCGAGGTGATGCAGTACCTCGCACGCGCCTATCTGCGTGCCAATAAGCTGGTGGAGGCCAAGGCTGTACTGCTGAAGGCTCGTCGTGTGGCTCCCCAGGACACTGTGCTGCTGTTCAACATAGCTGTAGTGCTATCCCGACTAGCCATGGCCATACTCAAGGATGAGAAGTCCACGCTGGAGGTGGTGCTCCAAGCGGTGCATGAACTAGAACTGGCGCACAAGTAAATAATTTTAAATTCAAGCGTGCTTTATAATTATAATATCTATTCCCACTTAGATACTTCCAATACTTGTCCGTGCATGGCGACAAGACACGCTTCAACATCGAGGTTGCAGGCGTGGAGGCCAACACATGTCAGGATCTGCTGTCTCAGGCGCAATACCACGTGGGACGTGCGCGTCGCATTGATGAAGAGGATCGCACACTGCGTCGTCGACAAGAAGAAGAGCGGGAAGCCTTCAAGCAAAAAATGCTGGAGCAGCGCAAGCGACGCGAAGAGGAGGCCAAGATGTCCCGCGAACAGCTGCTGGCCAAACGACAGGAGTACGTGGAAAAGACCAAGAATTTGCTCATCATTGCCGACGCACCTACCGAAAAGGAGCGCAAGAAGGGCAGCGGACGACCGCGCAAGGATGATTACATCTCGGGCACGGATAGCGGAGATTTGCAACGCGATGGCGCTGAACGGCCGAACAAGAAGAAGGGCAAGGTTGAACGTAAGAAGGGCAGCGGACGCAAACGGAAAACTGAGAAGTACGAGAGTGAGAGCGAAGAGGAGTCTGCTGGTGGTGGCGGTGGCCGTGGCGAGAAGAAACCGAAGAAGAAGAAGCTGCAGCAGAAGAACGCCAAGGATGTCAAGGAGAAACTGTCCGCCAAACAGCGTCTCAAGATTGTGTCCAAGGAGACAATATCGACCAGCGAGTCCGAAAGCGATGGCGGCAAGCGCAGCCGTAGCCGCAGCAGGAGCAGAAACCGCAACCGTAGCAAGTCGGGCAGCCGCTCGGGCAGCGGCAGTGGCAGCGGTAGCGATCACAGCCGCAGTAGAAGCCGCAAGAGCGGCTCTCGCAGTCGTAGTGGCAGCCGCTCCGGCAGCGCTAGTGGCAGCGATCGCGGACGGAAGCGCAGCAGGAGTCGCAGTGGCAGCGAGAGCGATGGTGTCGCAAAACGTAAGCGGGCCAAGAATCGCATTGAATCTGGCGACGAATCGGATAAATCACGGTCACGCTCCCGATCACGTTCACGCTCTCGTTCAGGGTCGGGGTCAAGATCACGCTCGCGCTCACACTCAAAATCTGGCTCTCGTTCACGCTCAAAGTCCGCAAACCGTTCACGTTCCCGCTCAGGCAGTCGATCAAAATCCAAGTCTCAATCGAAATCACGTTCTCGCTCACGCTCGGGCTCTCGCTCTCACTCCCATTCGAAGTCAAAGTCGCGCTCTCGTTCTCGTGAAGGTAGCGGTTCTCGATCGCCATCGCGCAGCCGCTCCCGATCGCATTCCGGATCACCGGACAAAAATTGATTGTAAAATACACATGCAATTTCACCTCGACATTGAGTAAATCATCAAACCTCTTATACTAATCATACTTGAGTGTAACTAGGAAGCAAAATAAAGATTGTGTTACAACTAAACAGGATCTCTCCTATACTCGTATAAAACCTTGTCTTTATTGTGTCATGGATATTGCTTTATATATCATGCTGTACCTATTACCACTACACAAAAGAAAGTTAGACTACCGATATTCGCATATAATATTAAGATTAGGCAACAATTGGCTAGGTGATCCCACCTAGAAGTGAGCTCTATTTCACATTCTGTTTGATCATATTGCTGACAATGGATGCCATGGGTTTGGAATGTCGTAGAACGAATGCATGGGCGATATTCTTGTTGTCCAGCTGTGCGTCCACTTGAGGAAAGGCTGATTTGAGTTGAATGTAATAGTCGACCGGCACCCAGCCGTCGGTGGTTCCATAATAGAACTTTAGTAGATGCATATTCTCTTCGATTATATCCCGTTGCAGGACACTGACCCGAGCCATTTCGTCGTCGGCCAGGAATACCACTTTCTCTGCCACTGACGGCTTGGTGTATTTTAATGCAGTTCCAAGGAAATGATTGGGTATAGCAAAGATCCAAAAGTAGATTTGGATCAAAAAGATGCGTATCCAAGCGGGAAGCCAATTGAAAGCGTTGAAGAAAACGTAACCAAAGACCGAATATAGGGGCATAGCCACTTTGGTGAATACCCAGCCATTGGGGGATTCCATCATGCGTTCTATTGTAGGGAATAGCATGTAACACTTTTTTATGCGATCCCGTATCTCTGGTTCCTTGAGCAGCTGCAATATCATCCAGGCGCCAATCGAATGTCCAATCAGATGAATTTTCACATGCTGAGGCACATACTTCTTTATAAAGTCTATCTTGTGATCGATTTGACCTTTGAGATTGAAGAGCTCGGCATTGCCACTAAGTTGAGGAACCTCACGAATGCTCGCCTCTGGCGGATCATCATGTCCAGCGTGACCTACATGTCGATCAGTATGTCAATAAGTTATCTTAAGCAAGTGCATTTGCAGATAATGCACACCCGGCCGTCTCACCTATCACCCAGACTGGCAAATTGTGTCCATCGGAGCCCAGCTCCTTCTGCAGTGCACCACCGAACTCTGTGTAGAAACCAGGCAGTCCAGGATTGCCCGTTATGCAAACAATAATCTCCTGGACGTCATTTAATGACTCCTCAATCCACTTTCCCCACGTTATGATGTGCGTGGGTATGTTATTGATATTCACATACGCTTCCTGCATTGTCTGTTAGCGTGGCAACAACTCAATGAAAATCAATGAGTTTTCACTTTCTCACTTCCAACTCGAATCTCTAGCAGACCAATTTAAAGCAACCGGTTTTTTTTTTTTGGCAATAGATCGCTCAAAAAGAACCGTTACGAAGTTTTGAACTTTCAAATGCGCGCTTTATCCAGTAATGTAAACACCGAATTAAAACCTGAGCTTCGTGTTACGCTTTTATTCCAAGTCTAATTGCGCAAAAGGGCAGAGTTCAGACATCAGACTCACTTGCCGGTATAATTCGCTATTATGGAAAATAGGCATGTCCACTCTCCGATGAGTGTAGGAGTATTTGCGTACGTAGGTGAGTGGTGCACTCACGAGCATTGCACGTGTATGGGACTCGACATAACGAAAAAACAATTCTATTCAATCTGAGCTACCACAATGTGTAACTATAGTCATTAAGCAAAAACAACATTTCACTTGATCAAAATTCTTTCGATATGTCATAAATTAGGCTTGCGTTTTATATCGATAACAATTTACATTTATATTCTGCATGAGTGTGCTTAAAGCTTTCCACTAGGTTGGCAGGGTCGTCTTTATTTATTGGTTTCTTTTGTTGTTGTTGCGGTTTTCATTTGTTATATTTTGTTATTTTTTATAGAACAGAAATTTCTGTCGAAATCTTTAGCCTAATTCCGGTTACAAGCATACTCAATGCGCTATTTTAAAACTATCCAACCGTATTTTAATCTACAGCTCTGGGTCCACAAGGCCCAATTATAAGAGTCCCCGATTTCGTTTCACCAAATGCGTGAGTGTGCGTGTGGAGCAAGAGCAAGGCCAGCAAAATAGATAAAATTGGACGGTCGCAGAGAATGTTTCCACTACCCTGGAGCTTTCTCGAATATTCTGTGGCACGGTAGCGCACTTGGAAACAGCGAACACAAAGAAGGAAGCGAAAGTCGCGCAGCCTATTGAAACGATTTGCCATCCGCAGCAACAACACAACGAAAGCCACAAGTGTAGGTTAGGCAAGGGGATCGTCAGAATGGAATTGTATTGCTGGGGTAACGCGTCGCACGGCCAGTTGGGTCTTGGCGGCATCGAAGAGGAACAGGTAATAAGGGGTACATAATGCACAAACATGCACGCCCACTTTAATTTGCCTTTACGCTTACTCGGTAGATATTGACGCCCAGCCGAATACCCTGGAAGCCGGACTCGGCAGTGAATCAAATCGCTTGTGGGCATCGGCACACGCTCTTTCTGACTGCCAGCGGGAAGGTGTATGCATGCGGTAGCAATGATTACTCACAACTGGGACATGAGCTACCCACCAAAAGGCCACGTATGTCGCCATTTCGTATGTACAAATCTTCCATTCTCGTTGGTACACTTGTCACACCTCATTCCCATCACAACTTCCACATGTCGCTCTCTGTGTTAGCCTGATTGCCGGTTGCCATTTATTGCTCTTACGGCCGTTTACTTGCAGTACAGATACCGGAGCTGCAGGATTACGTGATTACGCAAATTGCCTGCGGTAGCCGCCATTCGATGGCGCTCTCCGAATGGGGGCAGGTCTTTAGTTGGGGCGATAATGAGTGTGGCCAACTGGGCCATGCCAGCGATCAAGATATTGTAAAACTGCCTAAAATAGTACGAAATTTGGTCTCCAAAACGGTCGTCCAAATAGCCTGCGGCAGCAATCACAGCCTGGCTCTAACTTGCTGTAAGTATATTTGACTTCGGGAGAATCCACTCTATCGATCTATTTGCCATTGCAGGTGGTGAGCTGTATTCATGGGGATCCAATCTCTATGGCCAGCTGGGTGTCAGTTCACCTAATGACCTCCAACAGAGCAACACTCCCATGCGACTCACCACCTTGCTGGGCATTCCCGTGTCAGCCATTGCCTGCGGCGGTAATCACTCTTTTCTTATATCAAAGTCGAGTGCGGTGTTTGGTTGGGGCCGCAACAACTGTGGACAGCTGGGCCTGAACGACGAGACGAATCGTGCGTATCCCACACAGCTGAAAACTCTGAGGACACTAGGCGTTCGGTTTGTCGCCTGTGGAGATGAGTTTTCTGTGTTTCTCACCATCGAGGGCGGCGTGTTCACCTGTGGCGCTGGAGCCTATGGGCAATTGGGCCACGGCTTTAGCTCCAATGAAATGTTACCTCGTATGGTCATGGAACTGATGGGCAGCACTATTTCCCAGGTGGCCTGCGGCAATCGCCACACCTTGGCGCTGGTGCCTTCGCGAGGACGAATCTATGGATTCGGTTTGGGCAGCTCCGGGCAGCTAGGCACGCGTAACACCAAAAGCCTAAATCTGCCCCAGTTGGTAATAGGGCCATGGGTGTCGCCTAGTGGTTCAACCCTGTTGCAGTCCAACGATGCGAAGGTTGCGTCTGTCATTCATCAAATCTTCTCCGGCGGCGATCAGTCAATAGTGACCACCTCGATGTTTGCGGACAAAATTCCACCCGTGGACTGTCGCGTCTATTCGTAATAATTTTTGTATTGCTATGCCAAACATTCGAATAACATGACTCTTTTCTTATAGCCCCAAGACACAAATTCTTGTGCTGACTGCAGATGCCACCAAACAATGCGCACGCATTAAAAAAGACGATCAGAGCGATTTGGATTTATTAAACTCCATTGAGGTTATATTTAAGAGCCAGGCCTGCCTTAATGGTTCTTTTCTGCTGGACCAAGACAGGCACTTGGGTTGCTCCGTTCGCAATTATGGCATAGATTTAATGGCTGCCCAGGCGGCCTTTGATAATCTACGTAAAGTGGAGAATCAAAGCATCAAGCAGGTGGTACGTGCAACCGCTTTACAATGGCCATTGACGCACCGCTAGATAATCTGACTTCATTTTAGATTTGGGATAACCTGTCGAAGGAGCTTCTTGGTTCGCTGGTCGCCTCGCCGGCAGACGTTGAGAGCATGCGCGTCTATTTGTTACTGCCATTGTATCACGAATTTGTGAATTCCAAACACTACAAAACACTGCACGTACCGTTCGCCCAAGCCATCTTCAAACTGACTGAGAATCCACGCAAGGTGTTAGAGAAATGGTGGGCTCAAACGCCGTCTGAATACTTTGAGCAAATGGTCATTAATTTTTTGCATGTGGCGATGCACATCATCAGCTTTAAAATGGGAATTGAGGTGATCAATCACAATGAACCGCGTCAGAAGAAGGTAATCGTATGCAACTATTTCCCAATCATTTTCACCTACTTACTAATCAATGCCAAATACGTATCTTAGCTGTTGCCCTACAGCAGTGATCTGGAGGCTGTCCTACGATTTTTGACAAATCTTTGTCGTGTGAACGACAATCGGGACGCGCGACTTAACTTCCGGCTGTTCTACTGGCCAGAGATTACGGATTATGTGGACGTGCAGCAGGAATATTTACGCTGGATTATGGCTGAGTCGACAGCAGAATTTAACATTTGCAACTATCCATTCCTGTTCGATGCATCCGCTAAAACCTCGCTGCTGCAAGCAGATCAAGCGCTCCAAATGCATTCAGCCATGTCGAACGCATTATCTAATGTGGGTGGTTAGCAGCCAATCATATAATCAATTTAATGACGCTCGACCATCTCTTTCAGGCATTTTACAATCTACTAAACTACGGTCACATGTCGCAGTACATTGTTTTGAATGTGACGCGAGAGAACCTGGTGCAGGATTCATTACGTGAACTACAGCGGTATAGCCAAAGTGATCTCAAGAAGCCCCTGAAAATCAAATTCCATGGCGAGGAGGCCGAAGATGCTGGAGGTGTGCGAAAGGAGTTTTTTATGTTGTTGCTCAAGGATCTGATCGATCCTAAATATGGAATGTTCAAAGAGTTTGAGGACTCACGCGTCATGTGGTTCGCAGATGTGACCTTCGAGACGGAGAATATGTATTTCCTTATCGGTGTTCTGTGTGGCCTGGCCATTTACAATTTTACAATAATCAATCTGCCTTTTCCGTTGGCACTATATAAGAAACTGCTAAAGAAACCTGTTGATCTTAGCGATCTGCGTGAAATGTCACCAACGGAAGCCAATTCCATGCAGGCGCTGCTGGACTATACAGGCGATGACTTTAAGGAAACCTTCGATTTGACCTTTGAAATATCACGTGACATCTATGGCGAAGCCGAGACTCAGGAGCTAAAGCCCAATGGGAGCAACATTGCTGTCACACTGGAAAACAGGTTTTGTTGCATTACATTTATTCCTTTTCTATTGTTAATCATTTGAGTTTTTCAGGCAAGAGTTTGTAAATCTCTATGTTGATTTCATATTCAACAAATCCGTGGAGCTTCACTATCGTGCATTTCACGAGGGCTTTATGAAAGTTTGTTCAGGCCGAGTGCTCCAAATCTTTCAACCTGAAGAACTAATGGCTGTTGTAGTGGGAAACGAGGAATATGATTGGCAGGCACTGGAAGACAACTGCGAGTACAAAGAGGGCTATACGTCCGGCGATGAAACGGTAATTCATTGGGTCAAGAAAATATCGTGTAATTAAGGCAATTTGCTTGTTTTTAGGTGAAGTGGTTTTGGGAAGTGTTTCACGAGCTACCCGAGGAAGAAAAGAAAAAGTTTCTGCTCTACTTGACAGGCAGTGATCGTATTCCTATACAGGGCATGAAAGCCATCAAGGTAAAGAGACTGTGACCATTTATAATTCATTATAACTGATTTATGGTAACCTTATCGGTTAGATCGCCATGCAACCCACACCTGATGAACGCTTCCTGCCCGTTGCCCATACATGTTTCAACTTGCTGGATCTGCCACGATATAAGACCAAGGAACGGCTCAAGTATAAGCTGCAACAAGCTATACAACAAACTCAGGGGTTTAGTCTGATCTAATCATTTTATCATAGCGTCATTGAGTGCAGATATTTTTTCGTAATGTCTAAAACACATTTGCATTTGCCTTGGATTATAAGTAAAAGAAAAACGAATAGCAAACCAATATTAAACCACTTCTTTTTCAGAGATATAATCATCTGGAATATTATTGTGTTGTTTAGATTTATAGAACGATTTTAGTATATTGTTATAAATAAATAAATAAATTTGGTGAATTAAGATGCAAAGTAAATAAAGTGCTCCAAATATAATTATTTTTTATTTTTAATTAAATACATATTTAAATTGAACGCGCTTTATGGTGATTGGCGATGGTGCTATATCCCTGGAGCTCCTTGGTTTGATCACTTCGATAGTCGGAGTTGCCGCCTACAATAAAAATGCCCACAAGTCGATAGTCGATAAGCGATAAGCTTTTCAAAACGCGCACATCACTAGTGCTCACAGCAGTTGTTGTTGTTGGCTGTGCGAAATGTGGCGGCAAATGAACAGCCGCAGCTCAGTTAGGTTTTAACTTTTGCAAGGTGCGCTTGCCGTACTCGGGGCTTTGCTACTAATAAGACATAAATTATTCAAGAACGTTTTTTGGCTGTATGTGATTTGAAATTCTGAGCGCGTGCCAAAGCTAAACAAAAAGATATAACAAGTGTCGCGGCCATAGAAGCAACAAGTGTCTATTCGATTGTTTTATAATTTTTTTGGAACGTTGCGCAGTCGCTGCTGCTTCTGCTGCCGCTGCTACTGGTGTTGCTGACAGCAGCGGGTCAAGCTAACGGTAACCGATCGAAAAAGAAATTCAAACAACAACTGCACCAGACAGTGAGTGAAATTATGTACTTGCTTTCATTTATTGAACGTGCCTACATTTATATATTGAGTGGCCAACTTCTTATCGCCACCGTCTGTCGCAGCTAATTGGCCATTACGGATGTGCGGGCCCCATTCAATGATTGAGAGCCGCATCCAACTAATCAGCTCTGCAGTTTTTGCATACTCAACTGTCGTTTTCCTATCCACAATGTAACAAATGTGCTGCAAGCTGTGAAGACGACACCAAACACACAGACAAAAACAAAAAAAAAATAATGAAAAAAAAAAATTGATCGAGTCAAAAAGCGGTTCTGCCGGTTTGCCCAGGTCGCGATCTGTGTTTCAGTCTATCTTGCTGGCAGCAAGACTTTCTTTCCTTTTGCACAATTTGAACTTGGACACCAGCGACAAGAGGCACAAATCTGGTTTATGTTTATATGCGTCTAATAAAGCGCCATTTACGACCATGTGCTGCAGGCAGCTCTTCTCGATGTGCTCGTTGGTGGTTGCTTCATCAGCTTAACCTCGCAGGCGCAAGCAATTTACCGTTTGCTTTTTAGGCGAGTGTTTCGCTTCCTGGACACTTCCTTTAGCCCACACAAACACACACACACGCGCGCACGCACGTACTCTTCTTCTCTTTCGCTCTGCCTGCTTGTCTTTCCTGTTGCTCCTCTGCTCTTGCAGCTGGGCTTAGCTGAATATTGTTTGCTTAGTTTTTACAGCAGGAACAAATACAAACAAAGCAGGTCAACTTTGTTAGACATCAACATGTATCTATATGAGTGTATATATGCATATATCGAGCAAGTCATGTATTTCCAGATAAATCGACACCAAACCCACAGTTTGTTTTCTTAAGTCTGACATGCATCTGAATGTTATTACGCCTGTGTTTGTGTCCCACCCTCTTCTCCGCCTTCTTATCAATGCCCTATAAATATAATTGTATCAGATTTCATTTCAATTTCAATTTCAATGGCGTCTATTGATTTGACCCATTTTCGATTTCAGCTTTTTCAATTGTGTCTTGTGGCAATCAGCCGTTAAGCAGCTTAGCTTCACTTAACTACGATCGTCTAGTTAGCTGCGTATTTCCCCCTCTTTGTTGTGTGTGTGTTTTTTTTTTTTTTGTCTTTTTGCCAAATACAGTTGTGTATATAATAGACTCCCTTGTGGCTCCATGGAGCGTTACGTTCAATGTCAGCCAGCGCAACACACAGAAGCCAAACCAAGTTTTTGGCCAGTTCTTCTAATGGAAATGATGTAATTCTCTTGCATAGAAATCTGAACAATGAGCGAGGTCCAAATCAAAAATGAAAAGCCAAAGAAACCAACAAAGACTCCAAAAGAAGGGAAACAAATAAAACGAATTGCACGCATTTTAGTTTGGTTAATTGTGATAATTCCACCAAGAGACGTTAACAATTAACGAACTTTGTCATGTGCACCACTCACTCATCTACGTGTGCGGGCGTGTGGGTGTGGCAGCTTGCCCTCTTTGATTTATCAGCAGTTGATTTGTCTTTCAAATTGCCAAATTTTTTTGTTTTATGACCAAAATGTAAGTTAAGCGTTTATTTATCGGAACAACGCAACGTTATCTATTGACTAAAAATTTTATTGATAACGTGGAGTGCCTGGAGGCGCATACTGGGTGCTTTAGTAATTGTACAGTGTGATTGGTAAACTGTTAAGAGAAATTGGGAATTACTTATGGGTGCATAAAGTCTGAATGTCTTTTGTTGATCTTCCATTTAGACTAACTGTAAGCATTACATCATCTAGTAAAAGTTCTTTTTCTTTTAAAAACCACAAAGCATTCCCTTCACATTCCTTTTAGATTAACTCTTCAGCATACTCTTAAGTCGTAATATCTTTCCATTTAATTTATAAATGTAACTTCAATTTATCAACTTCTATACACAGTGAATGTACTTGAAATATTTCATTCAATACTTCGAGCTGGTTCTTCTATAGCAACTGAATATGCTTTTTGCAGAATTCTGCCATTCTGCCATTCTTTGCTTAATCCAAGCACTTGAAAAATTGCATTTTATGGGCTCGAGTTTCCTTTTATTCGCACCGAGCAAACACATCCGATAAGATATTGCATGTGGCCTGTGTGTCCACATAATGAGTCAGCCCCTAAGCTCTGCCAGCCAGATACGAAACGAACGTGTTCGTGATCGAGGTCAGCGCGACATATGTTATACCCTCTAAACATAAATAAAACATATTTGCAATAGAAACGTGTCTTGCTACGCTCCTCAGCTTATCTGTTTGATGGCTTTATGAAAACTGAGAGTGAGATTCGTGGCTGAGACAATAAACTTAAAGAAAAAGATTACTTCAGATGACAACATGTCTTACATACTGGGTAGTGTATTTTAATATCAACTTAATATGCTCTAAAATAGTCCTCAGGCAAATTTGATTCAAAAAATTTATAGAGCTCTAGTTCAGTTAGTTATTCCGAGGAAAAAACCATAACAGTTATCATAAAATTAGATTGGCCCGWCAATTTATACCACGTACAGCACAGCACAGCTGTAAAGCTTTTCCCAACCATATATTATATTTTTTTTCGACACCTTAAACTGAAGAACTTGCGCTCCATTGTCGAAACGGCGATCGGTCGAAAGAGAACGTGTTTAAGATTACCGAATCGGTCCAAGCAAAGTGTCAACTAAGGCGTTTTTTCGTGGAAGAAACAGAAAAAGAAGAAGCCAACGAGTACTGCAATTCGTGTAGACTTGAAAAAAGTCTGGTTTCTTTCTTCAGTTTTTTGTGGGCCATTAAAATAAGAGGTAAATGTGAAGTTTTTGTTCGTTGTATTTCTTAAACAGCTTTTTTTTGCGTTTGAAATTGCGTTCAACATCAGTCACCAAATAACTTGCAAAATATGTTTGAATCAATTGTTGTTGTTTTTGTTGTTGTTGTTGTCGCCGCTGATCCAAAAAATTATTATGCGTCAGTGGACAATGCTGTGAGTCAGCATGTCGAGATTGTATCCCAAGTTTTTTGTTTGCTTTTCGTTTTCATATATTCATCGAATCGAACGAAGGCGTTTCAGGCGTTTTTTTTTTTACTCAATATTTGAGGAGTTAACGATCATTAAGAGCGAAGCGATTCAACGGTCGCCAAGTGGGGGCCATTGACGCGATTTGCCGCTGGCATAACTCACACAGTACCGGCTGGATATGTTATATTATCATACTTATTTCTCGAGATTGTAACTCTCGATGTTTGTTTTGCTTTTATTGTGAGTTTGCATACTCTCCCATTTCTGTTGATCTTGCAATCTTCAATTACTGGAATATTCTTAAGCAAAAGCTCAGTTTGAATGATTCGAAAATGTTCTTTTATTTGCTGAGTGAGTTTCAATTCATAGTCAAGGCTTAAACGCGAGCCAGATTGAGCAGCTGGTAGAGAGGCAAGACATTGCTATTTGACTTGCTCGTGGCGGCCAAGACGCGTGCCTGATAGCTGGCGGGAACGGACCGCTGAACGACTTCTTGCTGCGCTTGGGATTCCTCGGGCTCTTCGTTTTCAGAGTTGCGATACCATGGATAACCAGGGTAACCAGGGTAACCAGGATAGATCGGGTAGCCGGGATAGCTGGGATAGCCGGGATAAACAGGATAGTTAGGATAGCGCGGGACGCCGGGATAGCCGGGATAGCCATGATAGCCAGGATAACCAGGATAACCAGAAGCAGGTGGACCAGGATAGCCGGGAACGCCAGGGACGCTGGGATTGCCAGGAACGCCGGGAGTGCCAGGAATGCCAGGAGTGCCAGGAACGCCGGGAATGCCAGGATAACCATAGGGATAGCCATAGGGCCATTGACTATACGGCGGCACCCAGGGGCGCTGCGGAGGCGGATGAGTATGATAACCACCCCAGGGATAACCTTGTGGACCGTTCTGGCGAGGATGCTGGCTGTCCTCTGAAGTATAATAGTAATTGTGTTGATGTTGTACTGTCGGTTTGGCTGTAGTCTTCGAGCTGGAGCCAAAAAACTTTCCAAAGCCAGCCTTACCGATGGATGTTAATTGTTGCTCATCAATGTTGCGAGTCGTCCCGACGGAGTCCTCCACATTGCCACTGCCGCTGCCACTGCCACTGAGTACCTGCTGCGGTTGCTTTAGATGCGGCTGCGCTTGGGGCGACTTCTCCTGGAAGGTGAACGCGCTGCCCAGCAACGAGAAAAGCACTGCAAATAGAAGACTTTCATTCGAGATCAACCTGCCAGTAGTTCCTGATACTCACCTATCCAGAGTATTGATGATGCTCTGTGTTCCATGATCACTGAGGGAATATGACTTGGATGCAACGGCTGCACCTTTATATACCCAGCCCGAGCAGCTGCAAAGTGCATCTTTTATGGGTTTTCTATGCTAACGGTTTTCTCATTAGAATATTTGATGCATCTATTTCCCAAATCAAAGCAGAGACCCCAATTTAAGCTGCCCACCATTTGCTTTCTCTCTGTCCACTTCTATTCTTAGTTACCTGATCTGGACCGTTCTCTAGTTGATGTGGCCAATAAGATCAGACTCTAATTTGCATATGAATTAAGAATTTTGGTGTCTTCTGTCAAACTTGAAACTGAATGCACTCAAGTGATCGCCGCTGAGCGATCAGACGCTGCTCTCGTATAGTTCAGCGGAGTTCAATAGCCCATTCGCCATACAAATTACGTCATTTGTTGAGTTGAGTTTCTTTTTATGTTGTACCTTAAGCCCAGTGAATAAGTGTGTAAAGGGTATGAGAGTTTTGGGAAACTACTTCCAAAAGGCAAGAGAAGACATAAGTTTATACAGGAGTATCGGTCTCTCCGATCATCGATCCAAAAGAGAGAAATTTCAACTGGAGTTCTCTTTTTTACATAGATAGCTATAAGGTAGGGTATCTAGCTAGTCGGTCACGCCTGGCTAGAGCCATTTGGCTTGTTTTAGTTTTATAGCCAGTTTATAATTGACCCTCGTGCCCGCTGGCGAGTTTTCCCACTGGGGTCAATATCAGATTAATGGCTCACAAACCAGTTCAGAGCTCTTTCGTCTACATGATTTGCGTAAGGAATTTTGGGTGTACATAAAGCCGGCACCAAAAATATAAAGAAGAAACTACCCAAGCAAGTGTCGTTGACATCAAGAATGTTCTTAAAGCAAAAGTGCGGCATAACTTCAGGCAGCAATGTAATTTTACTCAAATGGGAATTGATAAGAGCTAAGAGTGGATGGGGGATTTCCAGAGAAATCAGGAGAGTAAGCTGGGGCAGATAAGAAAACGAACTATTTGAAGGTGTCGTTAGGCTACGAGAAATGTTTTTTCTAAACAATATTGGAATGATAGTCACATGACTTGCAAGAACTATATCTTTTCAAAGAGTCATAAATTGACAACATTGAACGACCGGGTTGCGATTCGATTTGGCTCAGTTTATAAACTTGCATATGCTCGAATTACTCTATAAGTCTATATGCTCTTTATCATGCCCGAACTACTCTACTATTTCTTTAATGCATTTCAGTTGCTAGCATATCACAGAACTCAGCCAATAACGTGCACTTAACCAAATATGTGACAAATATATCAAATATTATTGCTTCAGTTGTGCTTGGATATGGCTATGAAACATGTACATATATATGAATTTGTATGTACTTATGTGCACATATCAAAGCCATTGTGTAATTAGCTAAACATGCATTGGCCTGGAGCTGGCAAGTGCAAATAGCTCCAGCGAAACAAAGGCCGCATTGAACCAATCGATTGTAGTACAAACTGTGCACTCAATGACTGATAAGAGCGTTAAATGGACCAAATGTCGCGCTGCAGTTTCACTGATGGCGCCTACGGCAATCGAACTAATTACTTAATGTGCAGCTCAGACATTTGCAATACAATTTTCCAGTGTTTGCGAGGCACTCGCAACGTGATCACCCTACGGCGTTCGCAGTATTTAAATATTTTTGTCAGCTATTGAGTTTGCTTTGATTAGAAGTGTGTTTTACTCTGAGTCATTGGCTCGCGATTTACCTGCCTAACTCTATAAAGATCGCTGATCAAGCAATAACTAAGATTCGATATATATATTCTTTTTGATTCGAACTGATTCCCACTCTACTGTCGATCGTCTACGATCCCAGTAATTCTACATAGATTGTCAGAGATAAGAGTGAAGTGATCGCTGTCTGATCTTATTTTTGTTTAATTTCATCTATTCGATTCGAAGTCTATCGTAGATCGTTACGATCTCAGTGGTTGTTATCTGTTGAAATCTAAATCGTCAGCATTTGATTTCGATCAAAAACTTTGAGTCTACCTTACTTACTCTGAACAGATCTTTTCTTTGCTTTGAGTGCAACTCATCATCAAAACTGATTTCGAGTTTATACCATGCGAGCTTTATCTGCTCATCGATCACTAAGAATTAAAATCTATATTATCTTTTGTCTTTTTGATTAGAGCTTACATTTGTGTCTCATGCTGTGTTTACAAAGTGAGATTTTCACAGTTAACACTGCGTTGATTTTAGCATATTTTATCAGCCGCAGCTGAGTTTGTTTTGCACTCACCATTGTGTCATATACTGACTCATCTTCACCCGCAACTCTCCACAGATTTTCTATAGATATATATATGTATATCCACAAGAATATATATAAATATATGTGAATTGCTCACAAAGAGCTGGCAAAAGGCAAACGCACTATCTAATCGCGGCTGATTGGGCCATTGCGGCTCTTGGGAAGTGCTCTCCGTGTAGCTAAATCGTTGATAACTGGCAAACAAGCTGCTCCGACGGCGCCGACTACGATGGCAATTGAATATTGATGGTTAAAACTCTATTGCCAACGGCGGATTGTGTTAGTTTGCCAGCGCAGTCGTTGATGTGCGGAATATGTGCTGAGTGCTGAGAGTAAAGAGTGTCTAATCGGTTCATAAGGATACAGAACAACCCAACACAATGGCCAGGTACAACAATTGCGACTTATCTAGGCCAACAATTGGCGCTGTTGTTCGTGTTTTCGTGCTTATCTATTAAGAACCCACTCCAAGTGCAGCCCATCACTGTGTCAATTCGCGAATTTAAAATGCTTACATCATGCTATCAATATCGGGCCAATCGCTTAATAATTTCCGTCAAAGAGCAACCGCACCTACCTATGTATATACCCTTTGCCAATTCACTTGATATCTATATATATACATATATATTTATAAGGGGTATACATAATTCGACAATGGAATCGAGAATGAGAGCAAATAGAACCATTGCGTAATCGACGCTCTTAGATTCGTTGGCAGCCGCAAGACCAAATAAACTCTAGACCCAATAACCCAGGCATTTCTAGTGATATGATATATGACGTTGATAAGAGCAGAATGCTAATTGCACCTAGTCTACTTCAGCTCTATAAATACAATTATGGCTATAAATGCTGTCCACTCAATGAACAATATATCTAAAAATATCCATCAATATTATATTTTATTTTTTATATATTCCTATGTAATATTTGTGTGAAATAGTATTAGCTTAGTTTTCCTTATTACCTGTGGAGCTATAAATTCTTTACACAAGAAATCTTATCAATTAGCCATTGATTGTGTTCTTTTATAATCGCACCCTACTAAAAACCAGGTGATTAAATAGACCTCAGGTCTCTTGGCTAGAAACCGTTCTTTACGTGTGCCTAATACAAGGGCACTTGAAAATGTTTCCCAGAAATTTACATACAACACTTAAGCGATCTCAGATTTTGGTATAATCTTAACTAATCTTGATCTTAACTTTTTCGACTTCTAGCAATAAACCATTACCCAACATGGAGACGGGTTTGCACGAACGCGATCGTGCGGGCGTTCAGGACTTTGTGCTGCTCGAGAACTATGAGAGCGAGGCTGCATTTATTGATAATCTGAAGAAGCGTTTCCAAGAGAACCTCATCTATGTAAGTTTTACGTATGCGATGTCATTTCTTGCCCCCTCTCTCTTTCCTTCTGTCTTTCTGTCACATAATTTCTCTATTATCTCTATCTCTATCTGCATTTCTATTTCGTAACTCTTACCACGCATCCTCTAAAATATTGAACTCAATATTTAGACCGGATGCTGGATCTGTGTAAGAAATTTCAAATGTTAATGTTGTCCATAAAGTTCCCGAGTTTTTTTTTACTAAACATTTCGTATTTCTTTACAGACCTACATTGGCCAGGTGCTGATCTCTGTGAATCCCTACAAGCAGCTGCCCATCTACTCAGAGGCCCACATCAAGGAGTACAGGAATAAGCACTTCTATGAGATGCCACCCCACATGTAAGTGGCAAATGCTAACCGGGACTAGACTATCAGATTTAATCCGTATATAATCTCTAGCTTCGCTGTGACGGACAACGCTTTCCGCTCACTGATCGAGGAGAATCGCGGCCAGTGCGTGCTCATCTCGGGCGAGAGTGGCTCCGGCAAGACGGAGGCCTCCAAGAAGGTGCTGCAGTACATTGCCGCCTGCTCTGGCCATCAGAGCACGGTGGAGGGCGTCAAGGATAAGCTGCTGAAGAGCAATCCAGTGCTGGAGGCTTTTGGCAATGCCAAGACGAACCGCAACGACAACTCCTCCCGCTTCGGCAAATACATGGACATTCAGTTCGACTACAAAGGCACGCCCATTGGCGGCAACATCCTCAACTATTTGCTGGAGAAGTCGCGCGTGGTGGCCCAAACGCCCGGTGAGCGTAACTTCCACATCTTCTATCAGCTGCTGGCGGGCGCAGATGCCACACTGCTGCAGGAGCTCCACCTGGAGCGCACGCTGGAGAGCTACAACTATCTGACCGATGGCGTAAGCTAGCAAGCAATCACAGCTTAAAGAGCTTTCCTCTAATTGTCTCTATCTCATCAGGCCAAGGGCAGCGTGAAGAGCATCGATGATGTGGACAACTTCAAGCAGGTACAGCAGGCATTGAGCGTGATTGATTTCAGTGCGGATGAGCAGCGCGAGATCTTTGCCATTGTGGCGAGCATATTGCACCTGGGCAACATTGGCTTCAACGAGGTGGAGGGCAATGCCCAGGTGGACAGTCGGGATTTGGTGGTCACTGTCTCCCGTCTGCTCGGCGTCAATGCCAGCGAATTGGGCGCCGCCCTGACCCATCGCACTATTGATGCACGAGGCGATGTGGTTACCTCGCCGTTGAATCAGGAGCTGGCCATCTATGCCAGAGATGCGTTGGCTAAAGCCGTCTACGATCGCCTCTTCTCCTGGCTGGTGCAGCGCCTCAACATTTCGCTGCAGGCGAAGGAAACGCGCGGAGCCCGCAACAATGTCATGGGCATTTTGGATATCTATGGCTTCGAGATCTTCAAGACGAACAACTTTGAGCAGTTCTGCATCAACTTCTGTAATGAGAAGCTGCAGCAGCTATTCATTGAGTTGACTCTAAAATCGGAGCAGGATGAGTACAGGAGGGAGGGCATCGAGTGGATACCAGTGGAGTATTTCGACAACAAGGTCATTTGCAACCTGATTGAGGAGAAGCATAAGGGTATTATTTCCATACTGGATGAGGAGTGCCTGCGGCCGGGAGAGCCTACCGATCGTACCTTCCTCGACAAGCTCACCCAGAAGCTGGCGGAGCATCGTCATTACGTGTGCCACGAGAAGGCACCGATTCATGTACAAAAGATCATGGGACGCGACGAGTTCCGGCTGGTGCACTACGCCGGCGAGGTGACCTACAGCGTGAATGGTTTCTTGGATAAGAACAACGATTTGCTGTTCCGTGATCTCAAGGAAACGCTGAGCAAGTCGGGCAACAACATTGTCCGCTCCTGTTTCCCAGAGTCCGAGCTGAGCAGCAAGAAGCGACCCGACACAGCCATCTCACAGTTCAAGTGCTCGCTGAACAATCTGATGGACATATTGATGTGCAAGGAGCCCAGCTATATACGTTGCATCAAGCCCAACGATCTGCAGTCGCCGGGCATCTTCGATGATCAGCTGGTGTTGCATCAGGTCAAGTATCTGGGCCTGATGGAGAATCTGCGCGTGCGTCGTGCTGGCTTTGCCTATAGGCGCAGCTACGAGCTGTTCCTGGAGCGCTACAAGTGCCTCAGCAAGTCCACGTGGCCCAACTACAAGGGTTCTGGTGGCGCCAAGGGTGGCGTCCAGCAGCTCGTCAAGGATCTGGGCTATAATAGTGACCAATACAAGATGGGTGAGACGAAACTCTTCATACGCTGGCCACGCACACTCTTCGACACGGAGGACGCCTACCAGGCGAAAAAGCACGACGTCGCTGCCATCATTCAGGCCCATTGGAAGGGTCTGGTGCAGCGTCGCAAGTATTTGAAGCTGCGCGCCCAGGTGATCATTCTGCAGAGTTACTGCCGCCGGCGTCTGGCCCAGCAGGCCGCCAAGCAGCGTCGCGAGGCAGCGGACAAGATCCGCGCCTTCATCAAGGGCTTCATCACGCGCAACGATCCGCCCAATGGCTTTAACGATGACTTCATTGCCAATGCCAAACGAATGTGGCTGCTGCGTCTGGCCAAGGAGCTACCCACCAAGGTGCTCGACAAGAGCTGGCCCCCAGCGCCTGGCCACTGCCAGGAGGCGTCAACCTATCTGCATCGCCTGCATCGTCTGCACCTAGCACGCATCTATCGCCAGAAGCTGACGCCGCAGCGCAAGCGCCAGTTCGAGCTAAAGGTTTTGGCCGAGAAGGTGTTCAAGGGCAAGAAAAACAACTATGCCAGCAGTGTGCCCGCCTGGTTCCAGAGCGATCGCATCAGCCAGGAGCACATACAGCGCGTGAATGACTTCGTGGCCAGCACCTTTGGCAGCGAGCAACTTAAATACCAATCAGCCTGCACGAAGTTCGATAGACACGGCTACAAGTCTCGAGAGCGCTTTATACTGCTGAGCAACAAGGCTGTCTACGTGCTGGATGGCAAGAGCTACAAGCAGAAGCATCGCCTGCCCCTCGAGAAGATCGACTTCACGCTGACGAACCACAACGATGACCTCATGGTCATTCGGATACCGCTGGAGCTGAAAAAGGATAAAGGCGATCTGATTCTAATCATTCCACACATCATCGAGTTTAGCATCTACATCATCGACACCGTGGGCACAGCCGATATTGTCTCCATCGTGGACAGAGCTTCGTAAGTGGCAAAGAAACCTTAGAGTCTAGACTCTATTTATTAACTTTATTTATTCCCTTTCAGACTGGAACACAATGTGGTTAAGGGCAAGGGTGGTGTCATAGAGCTGCAAACAGGAGCCGAGCCCGGCGTTATGCGTGATAAGAGCGGCCATCTAGTTGTTGTAAGTAGAGAGTAAAATAACCATAATCTTGATAGACTTTAATAATCTGGTTCTTTTCACATGCAGATTGCTGGTCAATAAGGAATTTAATAAACTACCAAAATGGCTTTAAATCAAACGACAATTGTTCTGTTATAATATTCCTGTAATTTATATATATTGTATTTTTGTATTTTGTTACTGTAATGAGGCAACGTACTTCTGATTGGGATACATATTTATACAATATGCTATATGTACTTATGTTCCCAATTAAACATATAAATATTGTTTATATAAATCCTAAAAGCGTTTAATTGCCTTATGATGGTTATTGCATGCTGACGTAACTCAAGGTGTGTCTATTTTATCTTATCTATTTCTTTTTCAAAACAAATACTGATATCGATTTAGCTGCATCAACGTCAAGCACTTTATAGGTCCCCGTATAGAGGTCTATTAGGCCAAATTTAACTTTAACACTCTGTTACATATGTTTACATGCTTTAACTATGGGAAGTGAGGTGGTAACATCAACAATTGTCCGTTAAATTTGATGCCATTTTCAACACTATTCGATGACGATATGGCACCATTTTAGTATTTTTCCAAAATATTCCTATCGATATGTGCCGTCTATATATCGAAGTGGACGCATCTCTTATAAATACACCGTCTCACATGTTTATATTATGAATCTGTCATAAACACAACCAATTGATTTTTGCAACGCTTAGTTTTTTTCTAAATCAATAAATAAGTAAATAATATGGCCTCCAAGCGTACCTCCAACAATCCTAAAAAAAAATTAGAGGTTTGATTTAATAACAACTGTTTTTTTTTTTTTACAAATTAGCTAACCGTTTGTTATATTACAGTCATTGCTTAGACTGGCCGTTGAACATTCTGGAAAAGATGAGGAACCAACAAATACAAAACCAGAAGAAACGGATGAAAAGGTGATATATAACTGGGAAATCTGATGTTATGGACTGATATAACATAGAGTATTTATATTCACTTGAATAATAATTAATTATTATCATTCCAGAGGATGAATTTCTTACAAAGTGCTCTGAAGGCCATGACGGGAGATGATTTGGAGGCAGCTTTATTAATTCTAAGAACTGAATCCACAACTCTTGAACAGAAAATTGACAGTTTAGACTTAATACGAGATAAGATCAGTGATATTGATATGGCAAATTCGTTTGTGAAAATCGGAGGCGCCGCCCTATTATTACAGTATATTCGAACTCCGGATAATACCTTCCGACAACAATCCATTTATATAGTGGCTGAAATGGCTCAGAACAATGAGTTCTGTCAAAATTATTTTTATAAAGAACAGATAATTCCTGTGCTTACCACAACTATGAACGACGCTGATGAGGATGTGGCCAAAGGCTCAATTTATGCCGTATCATCATTGATACAAAACTATCCGCCTGGACTGAAAGAGTTTCTGGGCACAAAGGGTATTCAAACTCTGGTGGCTTGCTTAAAATCGGATCATAAATCGGTTTACATAAAGGCGGCCTTTCTTATTGGTTCTCTAGCTTCGCGGGAGAACTCAATCAGAGGTAAGGGAATTAAAACTAAATGTAATGCATATAATATATATTTATATACATATATACTATTTACAGATCACATAAACAAACARAATGCAGTMTCCATTCTTTTGAATAATCTGGAGAAYAAGAATGAATATGATGACAAATTGGACGCTACCCTAAGAGCACTTTCCGCGCTCTCGGTGAGCTGCAAATGGAGCTCTACGCGAGATCAAAATACAACTGCCGAAATTACACTCAAGGAGATAAGTAATAATAAGGAATTATTAGATACTTGTGAAGTAAGTATTAAAATGGTTTACATCTTAGCAGGATTCAACTAATTATATACCTTTTTAGGAGATAGGCAACTTTGCACAGACTATTTTAAAGAATATGTCAACGAAATAAAGTAGATAGTGAATTTACAAATATGTAATATTTATACATATATTCATGTATAGTAAGAAAATCCAGTTTCTGTTTCAGAAAGATCAACAAAAGAATTCAATAATTGTGTATTTATTATTGATAGAGCTACTAAAATCGTGTATAAGTGTAAACTTATTAAAGCTTGAAATTATTCTGTGGAAAAATAGTTATATACATATATATACATATTATTTGTTATTAATAATAAAAAAGGAATTATTTAAAAAAATTTAGTCAAGTGCTTTTTATTATTTTTACAACTCGTCAGTAGCGAAAAGTCTGGACACGTTTTTCGCCAGCCAAAAATTTTTTTTTACATCGTATAAGTTACTGCAATTTGAATAGAGACAAGCCCAATTTTATGCTGGCAACATATCAAAATCGTCAGCCACATAAACAATGGGTACATGAATCTTATCGACGGTTGGCTCGTAAATGTAATCACACAATTTGTTTTTTTTCAGACACATATTCCAATCCATAACTTGAACCGCATGCAAACTTTCCGCTTCGTTATGCTGTCGCAAGACCATGGATTCCTGCAAACAAAAGCAAGTATGGCATTAGTTTTTATTTTCTGTAAAATACAATTGACTTCATCTTACCTTTATCTTCTCCCACTTGTCGTCGACGTCTTGAAGCCAGCTGAGCAGCAAGCGACCATTGAAGCGACAGCGCGCACTCTTTTCCTTTTCGTCCTGCTCCGGCGTAATCATATTATAGATTTCATCGTCTTTTAGAAACGTACACACGGAATAGGGAGCAGCTTGGCCAGATATACTTCTCGCTGCCTTCGAGTGCACTCGGATTATCTCCTGCTCTACACTCAAACAGAGTTTCTCTCTTTCCACTGTGTGCGCGTCGGACAGATCTCGCCTGGCTTTCTCTTGTTGGATATAAAAGTCTCGCATACATTCGGGAATGGCATCTGGCACTTCGATTACCGGCGTCGTCACATTCTTATTTAACAGATAAGTACGCTTCGTGAGCAGATAGTCGTTGTAGCCCTGAGGTGGTCTAGGTTTAACGGGATACAGATTTCTCCACTTCCTCTCCACTTGCCTGCGAATATTCAAGAACATCTGAAATCCATTCGTAAAGGGATAATCATGCGGGTGGGTGTCGCCAGAGGCCATCGAGTTATCGGCATGAGAATTTTTCGAATTATCATCGTTGTTCTTCGGTCTTATTTTTCGCTTACGCGGATGCAGCTCAACATTTGAAGATGAATTGATTTCCTTCGACGATGACGTCGAGGACGTCGAAGGACTCGGCACATTCGGCAACACCTCATGATCGAATTGATTATGCTGTATGGGACTAGCTGTCATATTTGTATAGGAGCCTTTGATATCAGCATTGTCATTGGCATGATTCGACGATGCTGGCGATGGGGAGCTGCTCTGCATTTGCGGGGAGGAGTTGTTCGAGCTGCGTTCGGCGCTTGTGACGCCGCTGCGATAGGAGCTGCGTAAGACCCTTAGGTTCTTTTCGTCATTAAATAGCTTGATATTCTTATCGTCGAGTATGGTCGAGCAGGCGATATTGACTTTCTGTGGACTCTCATGTGGGCTCAGACATTGATTGGATAGCACCGTGTCAATCGAATCACTATTGGAACTGACAACATAGGGCAACGCCGCATTCCGCGATGCAGCTACTTTACCAGTACGCAGGACATTACCATCCGTGTCGATCGAGCAATTCTGCTGCGGTATTACAATCTTCAGCGGTGGCACTTTCAAGGCACCATTATATGAGCTATCATTGCTCTTATAATCCTCGCTGCCTTCTGTTTCATTTTCAATCTCCACAGTCTTGTTCACCTCCAGCTCTTTGTCAGCAACTGTCGTAGTTATTTTACTACCTGAGGGCGAGTTTTTGGTGGACGCCAACTTTGAGGTTTTCTCCAGCTTAGATGATACCTTAAGTGAAGTATTCTTTAAGTCTTTCAAATTATCCAAATCTTTGCGTTTCTTCTTCTTTACGTCGTCGCCATGTTCCTCGAAGTCTTCCTCAACATCCGAATAGCTTCGCTTTGTGCTTGTCACGCTTTGAGCTATATTTTGTTCAGCATTTTTACTCTCTGAACTGGAATCCTCTGTTGCAGGCTTCTCCTTGGTTTCATTAACGCTGTCTAACTGCTTATCCGTGGCAGTGACTTCTTCAACATCTGCATCACCTTTTTTATCATTTTTCTTTGAGTGCGTACGGGATGTTTCTGGGTAAAAGAGAGAACAAATACGTAATACAAATTTAATTAGTAGCTATTAAGGTGTAACGCTTTTAAGAGGTGGACATGTTAATATGGACACGACTGTAGAGAATCATTCACACACATATATTTTTTTATAAGAACTACGACTATTTTTTTCTGCCTTTCACATTTCGTGACAAACTACTTTTCTAAGGATATAAAATAGCCCCACCCTAATTATTATGTGGAGGACATTTTCGTTATACGACTCACAAATATAAATACACATACACTTTCACATATGAGACGGCACACACAATTAACATTTGTCTGTATGTAAGTATGTACACATGCATGTATGCAAAGAAAAATAAGAATGGTACATTAGAAATGTCACAGAACAGCTCAATTGGGCGTTATCTATGGCAGCACTCATGTAACAATAACCCGAACAGTAAAGTTCGTAGGACTAATAAAAGAGAAATGAGATCACAATCCAAATTTGCGCTAGATACACACACACACACACACACACACACTAGGTTTAAATGTTATTGCAAAAGTATTTATTTCTTAGTTTTAACTGCAATTTACGCCCACATATTTGGTAGCTGCGTGTTACTTCAAAAATTTGTTGTATGTATACGCTATTGTAAAGTATGTATGTACCTATACGCAATTACACACGTACAGACAGAGGTACACATATACTGTGGCGGCGTACATATAAACAGATAGTAGATTTGTATGTTTTGGCTTACCTGTTGAGGACGTTGCAGTCATTTGGATTAATAAAGCCATTTGTTGTCTTTCCGACATGGGGGTATTTGAACTGGGTCTAGCTGGTGTGACCCCTGTTGTAAATCCTATCCCCTTTGGTCTTGGGGGTGGCATAATACCCAAATTCAACAGCAAACACGAAAACTTAAAATGTTGAACAAAAACAAGAACTCTGACTGAGGGACAGTGTGACCATAAATTGTAATTGAAAAAATATTTAACCGCAAAAACTATCGCATATAAAATGTGATTGTGGATTGTATAATTGTAGTGCGACACTTTTCGATAACAATACAATAGGAATCGAATCTGTAAGGATTTTAACGTTATGGCATCCAATTGCTTTCTGCTTTGCCAATTATTAATGTAAATGTATAAATGTATAGACAAATAATAGCCAAGTATGGTAGAACGTAAGATTTATTTTCATACAAATGTTTGGCTTTATTGGGCAAACACAGAATTTATATTTCTCTTTCAAAAGTTGCCCAAATTTTATTTGTACCGGGCAGTTGTAATTGTTATTCATACATAAGATTTGTTTTCCATTTTCTGAACTATATACTTAACGTCTAGCCGGAGCTCTGCCTCGTCCACGTCCTCTTGGACCTCCACGTCCACGGCTGCCTCTGCCTCGTCCACGGTTTCCAACACGCCCGCTGTCTTTCTTCTTCGACTTCGACTTTGGAGTGTCATCGATAAGCAAAGTTTCCAATGGCAGACTGTCGGGTAATATAAAGTAGCGAATATTGTTGCCTCGAATGCTTAAGGACTCCAAGTGGACTGGATCTCTATTTTTAATAGTCATTTTAACGCTCTTCAGGTGAGTATTCATGGCCACATCCACTCCAGTAATTGTGCCATGAATTTGAGTACCATTTTTTAATTCAACTGTTACAGTCTCATGACTGAGCTTCATCAGAAATCTAGAAATTAATAGTAAAGATAATATATTGTTAAATTGAATATTAGCTAATATTGTATAGCTAATATTGTTAATATATACCAAATAAGTTATTCGTTTATTAAAAACATGGCTAACATCATATTTACTGATTTTACTTTGTGCCATTTTTCAATCTTCAAATTTAGCGCTCAAAATATTGCTAAAGGAATAAGACATATACGCACACACACACACACACAAACAATCTAGTTTACTTGAGGTCCCTCGCAATTGGCAACTGCAGCCGGCAAAGGCTTTCTGCAGTATAAGCATACGCATTAATATTAAAACTTATGGAACATATTTTATTTGTTAATCATGATATCTTTCTTCATACAAACAAACGTTTAACTGCACATGCTAATTTGTATTCACGCATGCACATATAAAAATGTACATACGTATAAAAGAGCAACCATGTTTATACTACATTCAATACAATTTACATTTCTCATACCTCACCAATTTCATCTTTGAAATATTTGTATTTCAATGCACGCGTATGACTTTATTACTATGTGTTTTATTTAAAAATTGACAACTTTTTGTCAAACACAAAATATATACAAACTGAGCTGCGCCGGCAATAAAAAGAATAAAATATTAAAGCCGCATCTACTTATATCGATATCGAAATTACAACAGTGTGATGTCAAGATAACGTGAAACTATCGTTCTTAAATTATTATCAAAATATAATTGTAAGGTAAGTATTGAGAGTATTAAAGTAATTATGAATTAATTTATTTATAAATAAAATAGACAACATTAAAAAGTATTGCCAAAATAAATTCATATTTGTTTCGATAGTTTCACTCACGTTCCAACATCGCAGATATTTGTTCTTTCTATTGGGTGTGATAGATAACTTCTCAGAACACTTTTCTTCAACTGTTTTCCAACACCACATCGCCTGTGCCAAAAAGATTCCAGCCAGTATTAACTAAACGAGAAGCATAAATAATTTTGTAATTATGTGGCTATAAAAGTGTACTAAAGTGTATTTGATATTTAAGAAGAGGGACGACTTTGTGCCCTTTGAAATACTCAACAGAATCTGCATAGTTAGAAGGCGATGGCGTGTTTTTACGAACACCGAATATATGCTTATGTGATACTTATACTTTTCTTATTTATTAACTTATTTGCGCAAGGAAATATAACAGGTAAATGTGAAAACTAATAGCATATTAGCTCTTGACATGAAAGCTTAACTATTTAATGTGCCAGTTTATGTTTTTTCACAATACATCTGTGTTTTGTTTTTGAATATTCTACACGCAAATGCCTGTATACAAGTTTGTACACCTCTACATAGAACATATACATACATACTTTTTTTTGCGTATGCATGTAGGTGTGTCGTGTGTGTATGTGTTTATGCCGCTTGCAAAACCTTTAAAGTGTTAAATATATGTAAATAAATGCGATTATTAACAATAATCAGCGTCGTTATAATATAAATTTATCATCTGCAGACATGTAGATATGTATTTTCTATTCTCTTTTATGTTGGCTATGAATGTCTTTCGACAGCAGCATACCAGACAAAGAATTTTTTTTTTTTTTAAATATTTTTTAAGGGTTGGCTCAACTAGTAGATAGGAAATACTAAAATTTACTAAAATATATACATCTACACATATATATTTTGTAGTGTATAGTGTTTTTTCATTTATAGGCAAACTATTATCTATGCTTGCTATGAGTAATAACGCCCTAATCAAGCTAAAAATTGTTGAACTGATTAACGACAGAGACAGAGTAGATAACAAGAATATGAGGTGCCTAACAGATTGTATTTATCGTTAATCAGAATATCTTAACAGCCACTGAAGGAAGCAGTCATATAGATTGTAAATTTATTTATTAAAAATAAAATTATTTGACATGAAGATAACATTTAATATTAACATTAATTTTCTTACTCTTTTCTCTTTTTAGAATGGGTTGAAGTTGGAAAGAATTCTTCTTTTGAATGTGCGACTGAACACAAACCTGCAATTTGGATATTTAATAATGAAACCAATTATAAATTTGATACAAGGTACGTTCATAATTCTATGTTAACCTATTGAAACTAAATAACAATAGCCAACACAATCAAATTAAGTTCAGCATGGCAAACAACTTATGAGAAACAAAATACAGACTTATAAATGAATAATGATTTCTTATGAAATCAATTCACTATCTTGTAAAAAATTTAGCAATCAATGTTTTTCTTTTTACACTACTTAACTATTCTGATATCACATTTTTCAGATTTACAATAACTGAGAATATAATAATTCCCGAAGAAAATGCCGATCCGAATTTAAGTAATGATGTCAAAAAGTATAAGAATGTACTTTACATACGCAATGTGAATATATCGGACAGTGGGAACTATGCATGCAAAGATACTGTGACAAATACATCCGTGGAGTATAGCTTGCAGCCATTCCTTCAACCGAAAATCATTGAAAGCACCGTTGAGAGCATTAAACGAAAGATCAAGCAAAGTGCCATTATATATTGTGTATTTGAGATATATCCACAGAATGAAACGACAAACAAGCAGCTGAAATGGCTGAAGGATGGAAGCCCAGTTGCGTTCCTAGACGCCGCTGCCTCAATACACAAGCTGAGCGATAAACAATTGAACTTTACACTGGAATTAACAGAGGTTTATAAGAAGGAGAATGGAACATATAAGTGTGTTCTGCATAACGACGCTGAGGATGAGATCATTTCGAAGGAAATAACGTTGCTTGTCATGGAAGTGCCGCAGGCCAGCATCGATTATGCGAAAGCTGTTGGTGCTAGTAAAATTTACTTGAATTGGACGGTGAATGATGGCAATGATCCTGTTCAAAAGTATTTTATTCTGCATTCCCAAGAAGGTTCGCCCGCATACAAATATTATAAAGATATCATCAATGGCAACTATACTTCATATGTCTTGGAGAATTTCAGTCCCAATACAACCTATAATCTGCGCTTAGTGGCCAAGAACTCGATTGGCGAGGGTCCTACCAATCAATACCCATCTGCTGTGACTACCTTGGATCACGATCCGATATTCATACCAAAGGTTGAAACAACTGGCAGCACAGCTTCGACAATTACGATAGGCTGGGATCCGCCTTCACCGGATCTTATTGAGTATATCCAATACTATGAATTGACGGTCTCTGAAGCAGGTGATGTGCCGAAATTGATTGAGAAAGCTTTCCACCAACAGAACTCGAGAAATTTGCCGTACATGTTTGATAAACTGAAGACCGCCACGGACTACGAGTTCCAAGTGCGGGCATGCAGCGATCTGACCAAAACCTGCGGTCCCTGGTCAGAGAAAGTGAATGGTACAACCATGGATGGTGTTGCAACGAAACCAACTAATTTGAAAATACATTGCCATAATAAGAATATTTCTGGGCTGGATTCGATCTCTCTCAGCTGGAATGTACCCCAAAATCCAAATGGAAAGATCATTTCATACTTGATTATCCTCGAAGGAAACTACACCTACTATAATCAAGAGGGTGAAATGTTAACCAAGAAATGGGGCCCCAAAATCCGTAGGGTCGATGAGCCCAGCCATAAAACGATCTACGAAGGCGTTAGTCCAAATACTAATTATACTGCAACAGTCTCCGCAATTACGAGACATAAGAAAAACGGAGAAGCTGCCGTTGTGAGCTGCTTCATGCCAATTTCTACGCCCGAAAAAATTGGCAAAACGATGTGGACAAAGGTTAAGAATGGTCCAAAATACGTTTTAAAATTATATATACCGAAAGTTAGCGAACGGAATGGACCTATCTGTTGCTATCGGCTGTATCTAGTCAAAATAACCAATGGCAATAACGAACTGCCGGCTCCTGAGAAACTAAACGTGGCTACGTACAATGAAGTGCACAACAATAATAATAAGACCAATAATTATGCCTATATAGCTGAAATGCTTAGCAATCGATACTTTAGATCGGAAATATTTTTAGGAGACGAAATGCGTTTCCTTAACAAGCCTGAAGATCTTATTGACAACGATAATATCTGTCGCAAATGCTTAGACGGTGCACCATTTTTAAGAAAACAAGAAAGTGCCTTGAAAATAGGTAAGATACTAGACATTATACTATAATTTATATATATAAATTTATATGGATAACTTATTAGTCACAATTATTGATTATATTTTTTGTTAGATTCCTCCCCAACTCCAGCAGAGATTCAAAAAGAACAACTACTTAAAGATGGAAATTTAACAGAGCAAGCCATACAAGTCTTAGGAAGTAGAATGAGAATACGACGAAATCCCACAGTTGGCACTGAAAAGGAAGATACAAATAATAGTAATGCAAATAATATTGGAGATATATACGATGGCGAAATAGATATAAATTTCAACTACACTGGCTTCCTTGAGATTATAGGTAAGTTAAATATATAACTGCCCCAAATGCGACAATGGAAATAACATATATATTTCCCATTATAGTTCGATCTGGAAGTACGGTTCTTATGGCTTACAGTGATTACTTTGATGTAATGACACCTGCGACTGAGGCAGAACAAATACATTCCCTTGATGATTCTAAGTTCTATTTGAATATTGGCATTAAGGCTGCTGCTATATCACTAGGAGTGATTGTCATTTTTATTATTTTCTGGATAGTCCATCATCAGAAGACGAAGAACGCAATGCCAGACGAAGATACGTTAACTTTAAGAGATTCCTTAAGGTATTTACAACTGATTTGTCTGACTTATAATTTCTTTGAACTCATAATTTGTATATTTGAATTTCAGAACTCTTTTTAGACGTCGGATCAACAATCATAGCCAGTTCATAGGGTCTGGCAATCAGAAAGGTTTCGATACTGGTCCTATTCATAAAGCAGATTTAGTTAGCGCCTATAAAAATCGGCATAAGGATACGGATTATGGTTTCTTAAGGGAATATGAAATGTTGCCAAATCGCTTTACTGACCGAACAACAAAGAATAGTGACATGAAAGAAAATGCGTGCAAGAATAGATATCCAGATATAAAGGCCTACGATCAAACTAGGGTTAAGCTATCGCCAATTAATGGAAACCAGAGTACAGACTATATAAATGCCAATTTTGTCATTGGATATAAGGAGAGGAAGAAATTTATCTGCGCTCAAGGTCCCATGGAAAGCACAATTAGCGATTTCTGGCGTATGATTTGGGAACAACATTTAGAGATTATTGTTATGCTGACAAATCTGGAGGAATATAATAAGTCGAAGTGCGCAAAGTATTGGCCAGAAAAGGTTTTCGACTCGAAGCAGTTTGGCGATATCTCAGTTAAATTTACCGCAGAACGGAAGACTGGAGATTATATTATACGATCCCTAGATATCACGAAGTCGAATCTGATCGGCGACGAGGAAGATCACAGGCAAATTACTCAGTATCATTATCTGACATGGAAGGACTTTATGGCTCCCGAGCATCCGCATGGCATTATCAAGTTTATTCGTCAAATCAATTCGGTATACTCGGTGCAAAGAGGTCCAATTTTGGTGCACTGCAGCGCAGGTGTCGGTCGAACAGGTACTCTAGTGGCATTGGACTCTCTTGTGCAACAGTTGGAGGAAGAAAATATGGTATCCATATTTAATACTGTTTGCGATTTACGTCATCAGCGTAACTTTTTGGTCCAATCATTGGTAAGTTGGCTTAGTTGACAATACTGAGATACGAATATATTATTAATAAAGGCCATGGCTATTATTATGATACTCAATGAGATGATGAGAATATAATGATTATAATGGTCAAAATACAATATATTGACGATATACAGTAGATACGATAATTAAGATTAGTTAATGAGTTTATAGGCTAGCTTACTCCTACTTATTATATATTTAAATACATTGATAATCTCATTGCAGAAACAATACATTTTCCTTTACCGAGCATTGTTGGACACTGCTACATATGGAAACACGGATATACCACTGAATGCATTGCCATCAACAATTGAGAATCTAAAATTCAAGCCGAATGAGGGAAAATGCTTGCTTGAATTGGAGTTTGAGGTTTGTGTGCAATGATTTGTCTCAGTAAAATAAAATTACTTAATTTCTTTCTTTTTCATCATTTAAGAAACTTGTGAACACAACGGATGAGATAAATAAAACTTGCAGCGTAGGCGAAACTAAGGAAAATATGCTGAAAAATAGATGCCATGAAATTATTCCATACGATCGAAATAGAGTAAGTGTGCGAATTTAAAAGTAAATCACTTGATATGTTGCCTAATGTAATCTATATTTAATTTGTTCTAGGTCATTCTAAGCCCCATACCAACGAACGATAATTCAACCTATATAAATGCCTCTTTCATTGAGGGTTATGATAATAGCGAGTCCTTTATAATTGCACAAGATCCTATGGAGAACACAATTGGAGATTTTTGGAGAATGATATCTGAGCAAAGTGTTTCCACACTAATTATGATATCCGAGGTGAGTAAAATATTATGCAGTTTGACTTTATTCCATGCAATTACTATGCCACAATTCTAATTTAGATTGGAGACGGTCCCAGGAAATGTCCACGTTATTGGGCTGATGATGAAATACAATATGATCAAATACTCGTAAAATACGTACATAGTGAAAGTTGTCCGTATTACACTCGTCGGGAGTTCTATGTAACGAATTGCAAAATCGACGATACCCTTAAGGTGACTCAATTCCAGTATAATGGTTGGCCCACTGTCGATGGAGAGGTTCCTGAAGTCTGTCGGGGCATTATTGAGCTGGTAGACCAAGCACACAAACATTATAAGAATCACAAAAACAATGGTTGTCGATCTCCTCTAACAGTTCATTGCAGGTAATTTACTACTAGTAGTCATTATATTTTAGAATGTTTTTAATTATAAATTATATTTAATTATGCAGCTTGGGCACTGATCGAAGTTCAATTTTTGTTGCGATGTGCATTTTGGTTCAGCACCTTAGATTGGAAAAGAGTGTAGATATATGTTCAATAACAAGAAAATTGCGATCTCAGCGACCAGGACTTCTAAATTCATTCGTAAGTATAATACATGACTGCTATAAAACAATGAAATTATAACTAATTATATTTATTCTTTTAGGCACAATACGAGTTCCTACATCGCGCCATATTAAACTATTCAGATCTACATAAGTTGTCCGAAAACATAGAGGATTAAATACGAATTGAATATACTCATAAGAGGAATACAGCTGAGTTTACTCACACATACACGCCCACACACACAGACACACACATACTCACACATACACAAACATACATAGATATTATAATAATGTACATTTCAAGGAATCTTCGTATAGTATGTATTTGAGTGCGACGATTGTATACATTTTTTTACCAATTTATTTTTAACCTTATACATATATTTGTATGTCTGTATGTGCGTATTTATACTGATAAAGCTACCAAAGGATGAATATTAATTTATTTTATAAGATTATGTGTAAAGTAATAAGAATAAAATAAAATATGTATCTTTTACATTTAAGAAAAACAGCACAATAGCTTAGAGAAAGAGAGAGAAACGAAACAAATATCAGCTATCAACCAAACAAATATCTATCTCAACTTTATTTGCAGGTGTGTGTAAAGATTGCGAATTGCTTCTTACTATTTTCAGCGAAAGTAACTCTGTATAGAAATGTGTATGGGGTGGGCTTAAAAGTGTGATATATTCGTGAGAATGGGCATATAAAGGCGAGCGTGTGATGAATCATAGTTATGAGCAGAAGTTGAAGTGAGGCACTGGCATTCGAAATACGACAGAGTCTTGCATGTATTCTCGTTGGGATGGAGCTTGAGGAGGAGGAAGAGAACTTCGACTGTAAAAAGCTTATTTGTGGGCATGAGTCTTAAGCAAATCTGGCAAATATATAGCCATTGGCCAAGACATATAGCAGCTTCACTTCTGTTACACAAATAACTACTATAAATTATTATGTTTAATTATACTCTCAAACCACTGGCAAAGGCTGCTATACTTTCAATTACGAACCCATAAAGTGAGCTGCCTTATTTATGTAATTACAAATGTACTTCTATGACAACTGAACTTGTTACACTAGTTTGCGAACCTTTCATTAAATTAATTAACTTTTTTGTGCAAATAGTCTACGCAGCCAACAGCACAGAAGAGTTCTGCATGCCAGGCTGCCCCAGAGCCAAGAGCGTCCGTGACGGTGGCAGAGGCGGTGGCCGTGGTAGTGCAAGGGCGAGTGCCAGATAGCATCCTGGGTAGCACTTGAATTCATCATCAAACTGGAAATGATGTTTTTCAGTTAAAGCTGAAGACTTGTGTCAACACTTGTGAAAGGCCACTCGTCGCGTGCTCTGTTTAAAATATAATGAATTTTTATATGCATTTGGCAATTAAATGAATAGAATTGCGAAAATTACGTCGAGGGGTCAGCTTGGAGTACATATGGAGAGTGTGTCTGATTGGAAATGTATCTATGTAGAGGTTTTTGCCAATTTGATATTCTCAAGCCAAAGGTAAGAAATGTTGCTAGAAAATAAAATCAATAATAATTATACTTCGATAATATTAATGTTTTAATAATGTTTCTGCACATTTTTGATAAATATGAGAATGAATTCGGTAAGGGGGTAAATAAGGGAATTGGAGCTAGAGAAGGTTTGCATTTCAATTTTTTTTATGTTTTAAATAAAAAAATTGAGTTGATACATTTAAAAATTCGGATAATTTTTAAAGAAAAATTATTTTCAATGTCTAGTTAATGTCTAATATTTTTAATCTTAATATATTTAGTAAAATATTGATAGCTTGAATAACAATTGACAAATTTATGAATCAAGGACTTGTAATGGACTAGACTCGATAAAAGTCTAGCTAGATCTTTTTAAATATAACTCGACACCTACAAGCTTTATATGTAAAAAATTTCATCGGAAAGTTTGACAAAACTAAACAAGTGTTATACAAATTATAATTTTCCGAATACCTGCACGACTCAGCCCAAAACAACAATTTGAGTATGGGAAGAATTTGGAATATACGCCCGCTTAGATCACTCTCACTTGTTGGCGCTTATCATAACGATAAACTGTGGCACGTGCCATGCGTCAACATTTATAACTTTTTCGGAATACAACAAAACGCAAAATAAAAAAAAGAAAACAAAAATAGATGAATATATTAAAAGAAAAACAATTATTGTTATCATGCGGCTTTAATCAGGCGACTTGTGCCGGTGCTCTAGCAGTTGGGCTATCTAACCAGGACTGTGTATCGGACCAGCGCTCCATAAACAAATATTTACCTAATTCAATCCGTCATTTGGTAGTCACAAGCGTGAGAACAGTAAACAAAAAGTTTATATCTGTCACAGGCATAAGTAGAGCTCAACATCCCCAGCCCCTCAGCCGAGGAAAATCGCGTTGTTGAGCGGCGCTGAGCGGAGGCTGACTTAATTTCACGTCTTAGCATCAGTTACGACCCCGCCAATTGGAAAAGTCAACGGACTCTAGTGCGTCCTGGGCGACTTCAAAGGAGCAGCACTACGCCCAACAATTCGCCAAGGATATCATCCGCAACACGTGGCGGACGACGTTCTAGTCTGAGCATGCCAATTGTTTGCCGGTCGCTCATAAACTGCAGTCGAGCGGGTGGTGTGCGCATACTATGAATGATTTTTAATACACACACACACACACACAAACACCACCACTCTCACACACACACAGATACATAAAAAGCAATAAACTAAAATTAAGTCAGAAAACGTGTCGAAAGTCAGTGCCCAGTGCACTGACACTGATGTAAAAACAAACACAAATAGCGAACGACGCTCCTTGTTTACCTTCATAAAACCCATCGCGCATGCCTTTGCCGGGGAATCAGGGAATCACTGACGTTTGCTATACTGCCGTACATCTACAATGGGTGCGAGCGAGAGAGGGCGAGAGATTGTGCGGTAAAGTCACCCCATTCGCAACGTTAAGTACAATCGCATCAGTATTCAGGATATATAGCCAAACACCCACACACACACACACGCGCACGTACACGCACACATCTAATAAATTGGTAATTCGTGGTGAATTTTGACTAACAGTAAATTAAGTAGTGTGAAATAATGATGTTGTTCATAAAATGAGCAACTGTTACACATTTTAAGTATTTTAAATTGCTGGATTTTATGTTATAATGCTCGTTAAAGCCTGCTGGTCAAGGGATTGCAGGAAGAAATGAAATTTGATACTGTTTAGGCGAAAAGCAGGGACATAAGGGGCTTTCGATTTATTTGTTATTTATACTGGGTAGCGTTTAGATGGATCTTGGATGAGTTTGGAAATGGGACACATTTAGTGCTAAATAAATATGTATATTTCTTTGCCTAATATTAAAATGCATATAATTTGGAAATCTTAAAAAAGTTTATTTCTGGAAAAAAAAAAACCAGAAATTTAACTTATTTTAAATTACTTATTTTATTAAAATAGTAATTATTGTATTTCATCAATTTTAAGTTTATTATTCCAGAAAGAGATCTTGCGATTAAATATATTAGTTAAACTCGGACATAACTTCATAGTTCATACTGATATTAGTTTATCCATATCTCTATCATCATACTTTTTTTGTAAGTGACGGTCGAAATTTCAGACTACCCTTGTATATACATTTTATGGGTATAGCTGTAATTGATATGACAGTTTAAACAAGTCCATCTGCCTGTCCTCTAGATAGTAATTCCAAAAGCATTTTATTTCTTATGGAGGAAGTCAAGCAGATAGGATCTCTACACTTATGTAACAATTTATATGTAATACGAATTCTTTCTTTTCCAGAGCAAAAACTCACATAAATTTTATAACAACTCTGCACGGATCTTGAGAGAGTAAAAGGTTTTTTCATGAGCTCGCCCAAGTCTATGTAATATTAAGAATATATTTCTTAGCATGATGAATCGTATTGTTAGAGGAAAAAACTTATATGGAAAGCATAATGTTATTTTGTATACATCAAATACATTGTAACATACGAGTCTGGAGCTGAGGGGCTGAAGGGTGTGAGGTGCACGTTTTATTTGTTTGTTGTCACATAAAGACGCTCGACTGCAGTGAGGCCGTAAGGCAGTGAGGCACGTGCCACGTGCCACATATTGTTCTTGCAGATGCCTTTCGGCTATGTAATGGTCGGGTGTTAACACAAAGTTTCTGTGTCTGATTCGATATTCGTGAAGGCGATCCGGCCAACCGGCGAACCGGTCCGCCCACCCACCTAAAAAGCACAGTCGCAGATGCTGCAAATGATGAGTTGTGCCTAATTCATAACCACATCGAAAGGAATTAACTCACAGCATGTAGCTCTGCCACTGCCATAGAGCTTTCCCTTTCCTGTTTTCGGGGTTTGCCGGAGGGTTGGAACGCTTCCGTGTTAAAATCAAGTCGCTTCAACACGTGTCTTAATTCGTTTGGGTGAGATTCCAACAAGCTGAACAGAAAAGGGGTTTGAAAACTGAAATTAATTTCGCTACCGTTGAGAACTGTCAGCAATCGATTAGATAGAAGAGTCAAGAAAGCTATCCAAATGGAATGCCTGCAAATTAGTTGACTCTTTCAAAGTGAAAGATAACATAGAGAAATAGATGGAGTCCCTAGACAACTGGGATTATGATTATGGGTGTGAAGGGGAATATGATTCTAAATGGGATTTGATTGTAAAAGGATTATTCCTGTAGATTTCGATGTATACTCCATAAAGTGAGAGATTGGATAGATGTATATATCATGGGCAAACGACATAGGAATAGGAAATATATTAATTATAATTTAAATATTTATTTAATAGAGAGAGGATAGTGATTTCTGCTGTCATTGGCAATTATGAATGTAGTTTACTTACTTAGAATAAAAACAGACTCTATACCTTTGCTTCCCATAGTCTAATCAGTTTCACTCTTCTGATCAAAGATGCGTTTGTCGATCGATTGTGAACCATGTTCGGGTTCGCTGTTGTGTAAACTTTGATGTTGGGAGTGCAAACCACGTTATGTAGGTGAAAGAACATCGGATGTGGCCTGTGTTTGTCGCCAGGGGGTCCGTCCGCAGTGGCCAGACGGCACTGGTATTGGTATGGCACCAAGCCATCAACGATTTTCAAGTAATCCCTTGTTTGTTTCTTTGTCCGCATATATTGTTGTTTAACAA